AGAAGGAAAATTATAAATTGTTCTTTTTTATAAAAAAAATAATAAACATATGTGTAGTCTTAACAAAGAAATATCATTGAAAATTTACTCTTTTTCCATTTCAATTTATTTTTTTCACTAAAAAACTAAGATTGTAAAATTTTATTGTAATTATTTGCATCTTCTTTTTTCTATTTTCCAAAAATATGTTGTTTCTACTTATTTTCTTCTTTTAAAATCACTAAAATCTTTAATTTAAAATAATTTTAAATTTGTGAGAGTAATAAAATATAAATACTGAAAAAATAATAATAACATTAAAAATTTACTGAATAATCAAATCATGTTCAAAAATTGGAGAAGCTTAAGTCAAAGAAGTATGTAGCAATTCAAATGCATCCTTTGATACTTATAGAAGATAGTAGTTGACAATGAGTAATATTTTGTATGCATTAAAAAAGTAAAATTTATAAATAAATACACTGTATGTGAACCAGACATATTTTCATGTATAAATAAATATATATATATATATATATATATATAAACAAATAACTTACGTATAAATAATAAAGTTTCAATAGAAATTACAAGAACAGTCATATTACATATTTTCAAAGTCAGATGTTTAAGTTTTTAAGTTAAAAAATAATAATGTATATATATTATGTGTATATATAAATGTATGTTCATTGCCACATAATCAATAATTTTTTTTAATTATTATAAACATCAAAACATGATGAATAATATTTTAAAATATCTCCAATTCTTTTTCTTTCTTCTTATCTTTTGTATTCCAATTTGTTTCTGGGAAGCTAAATAAATTCAATTTGGCATGTAATAGTAGGTGCATGTTTTAATTAGATAATAAAATGTTTAGTAAAAAGCTGTTGATTGAAAATTTTAAAGTCCAAAATGGAGCAGATATATACCTAAGGAGTTCACAATATAAGTTTGTTATATATATATATATATATATATATATATATACTCAGTTGTTGACTTCTTGAAAACATAACATGATTGAATATTTTATTTCAAAACATATTAGTACTGGTGCATAATTCAAATAATTTTAAAAAGTAACTTACAATTTTATTGTAGTTAATCTTTTTTGGGCTGATTTAAATTTTGAATGAATCGTTTCATTAACTAATTTAACACTTAAGGAATAATTTAAATAAAAATATAAAAGGACATAATTCTTAAAATTAGTCTGAAAGCCATAAGTAGCTATTCTAGAAAATACCATAAAATACCATAAAATCAGGAAGGTAGGGAAAGGCTTGATTATTATAGATTAGAAAATAAAGGCTTTGGAATGGCAGGATAAGAAGGACTCTAACTTCAAGACCAAAGCATATGAATATGAAATTTTAATCTCAAACTTTAATTTAAAAGTCATGGTTCAAAAGTCTTACAAGGTTTGTTACTTGGTGTAAGAAAGTTCTTTTTGGAAGTCTTGTCTTTTTGATATAACATTAAGTAAGAAGAGGCTACAAAATTTTAAAAAATCGTTTTTCAATCAGAAGCCTAAATATGCCAATTCATATCATAATTCAAAAAATTATGAAAGACTTGATATTTTATTTTTTTATAGCTATCTAAAGCATTATTTTACATAGCTTTTGATTTTTTCTAAAATCATTTTTTTTAAGATGGGCCTATTAGAAACTTCAAAGGACAACACTACTTGTACATTGTAGGAATTAAATGCACTCCATCTTATTTTTTTTTCCATTTAGGACCTTTGGACTTATTTTGCTAGCATAAAGCTAAATTAAAAGGATTTCTAAACTCCAACTCATTTTTAAAAAATTAAAAATTAAAACTTCTTATTTTGTCCCCCTAAGTAAATACTGCTTCTATTTAGCAATATAACTTTGTATATAAAATAATTAATAAGGTTAATAATAATAACTAATGCCTTAAATGTTTTTAAAAAAGAAGTTTAAAATTTGGATTGAGACATAGTTATGGATTGTAATAAGAATATAGTTTTTAAATAAAAAATTATTTGTGCAATTGAATCAAATAAATTTAATTATAAATCATCATAATTAGGAGCTACATGAAAATGATTTATAATTAAATATTCAAAAAATACAAAGAAGTCATAAGTGTCACAAAAAATTTAGAAACTATAGTCTAAAAATATTATTAATTTTTTATGGTTATTTTAATTTATAATTAAATTTTAAAATGATAATAATCCAAATTATTAATGACATTAAAAGAAACAAGTTAATTATATAATTCTATTTAAAATACATATATCATTATTTAAAAAATGAATCTATAAAAAAATTCTATAAAGTAATATTATATATATATATATATATATAGTTTTTAGAAATGAGATAAAAATAAGTAGAAGAAAGTAAATTTGATAATATATTGTGGTAGAAGATTTATCAATGTAGATTTAACTGTATATATGTTTATAAGTGAATGGTAGATTTAAAACTTGGCCAATAAGCTAGCCATGTATTACACATGTTGGTGACTTATGATACAAGTTGGCCATATGATACATGTGCATGAAATTGGACATGTGTCAAAGGTTGGTTATGTATCAAAAGTCATGTAGAACATTGTCATGTAGCTCCTAATTAGATAATATATATCGAGGTAAGAGTGATGTCTTCTTCACTCTTATCAATGACTTTTTTGTTCTTAGTCTTATTATTAGTGTGTCTAATCTAATTGTCTTTAGAAATAGTCATTCTAGTCTTAATATTATACCATCTTTGAGTGAGTATACTCAAAAATTAGATTTATGAAAAAGATAGTCTAATAATTTAAAGATAGAAGTTTTTATATATAATAATAATAATTTATAAACTAAGACTTTAAGATTAAAAAGATAATATACTTAGTTGTAAAATAAAAATATACTAAATACACATTCTATTAGTATTTATAACTATAGATTAGATAAAATATAAATAATAGTTAAAATATATTAATCATCTTTTTTTTAATAATTGAATGTTTTATCAATCAAAATTATAGACATAAAATGATGTAAAATAAAATTTAAATTTATAAATAAAAAATTATCTTTCTTCATTTCACATCTAACAATGGTTGTATAAAAAATAATCAAGTTAATATTTCCTAAAACAAAACTTCTGAAAAAATATTTTTCATGATTTTGAATTAAAAAAAGATTTTATAGAACTTTAAATTTTTGAAACATTCTTTTAATAATAGAAGATAATAAAGAAATACATAAATAATATAAATTTAGTTTAGTCTCATAAAATACCTAGTTTATGATATAATTAATGATTGAAAATTACTTAATTAATATAAAATTAATTTAATTTAATTTAATTTTTAATTTCATAAAAATTAAAATTCGTATTATATTTTTTCTAAAGTTATTGATTTTCTATATAGGCACACATTTTTATATGATTTTGAAATTTAAATAAAAACACAAAAAAACAAGTATATGATTTTAAAATTTAAATTCAGCTTGATTCTTTATAATTCGATTATTTTTCATAGAAAATTATCTAATAATTTTCAAATCATATTTTCTAAAAATAAATATTAATTTTTTTTTTTATAAATTTAATTAATATTGAGCATCATATGTACTTGTGTTTTAGTTTTAGTTTTTTATATTTACTTATTTTAAATTCAAATAAAAGCAAACACTTTATCAAAGTCCTAAAATTCTTTTTGATTTTTTGAATGAAAGGTCAAATTTGAAACCTATTTAATATTGGAAATATTTATTTAAATAAATTTATAATTAAATAAATTTTTACAAAGAAAAATATAATAAAATAAAATACAATTATAAGATAGCCATGGAAGACATTGGCATTAACACATATATATATTTTAATAATATAAACAGGTAAATAAACTAAATACATGATAAATATAACTTGAAAAATAATGCATTATTTTATTTTTTAAATATGTCATAAATATTAAAGGCAATAGTGTATTTGGTATATTTGTTTGTTAACATCCGTTTAAAGTCTGTTCATGAATTCATCCATCTATTCAACTATTTTCAATTATTTTTAAATGTTTTTTTAATTATTATTGCAATGTTGGTATGATTCACCACAAAAGGATATATCCAGGGCAATGATATTACACTACATACTGAAATCATTTATAACAAACTCAAAAGTACCAATACATCCTACCACATGTGGGACCTAGCACTTAAATAGATTGCCATCACATCAGCATGCTTTGGAAGTTTTAATCAAAGGTAATTAACCTTAAAATCTGTGATTTGAGAACCTAATTAGACACCATTGTGACTTAGATCTTGCAATGATACACAAAAAAGCTCTCATTACCTGTTTTACCTTGAAAAAAAATATTACTTATTGTTGTCTTTTCTAACTCAAAAAAAACCCCATATGCAATGGAAAATAACATGTACATTATTTTATTTTACTTAAGATATTTGGGTCTTTATTAATCTTGAGAATTTTGACCAAAATATTGAGTTTGATATAAATATTGCTTGTTTAAAAAATATATGATAAAAAAATTGGATTGTTTATAACTTTATGTAGAAATATATATACATATATATATATATATATATATATTAAATTATCAACTATATTATGAGGTAGTCAATAATGTTTCAGTTACTGTTATTTTTAGAACTATGATAAAGATGTTATTTTTTTCATCAAAATATCATTAAATTTTTTAACAAAAGACCTCAACACTTCATATGTAACTTTCATGATCGATTTCATAAGTTTATTGTAGATTTACTATTCAAATGCATCCCTATAAAACTTAAAATATATTTAACTAGTAGAATTTAAATGGTATACAGATTAAATTTATTCTTCAATAAGCATAATAACGTTTACAATAATTTCAATTATAATAACACAGTTTCACTAGAAAAGGATAGTTGAAGCAAAGCCTTGAAGAAGGTTATCAAAAATAAAACTACAACATTAAACAACAAAAAGTGGGCAATTGATTTGAAGTCCCCAGATAGCCATACATGAGATGAATTCTTTTGAAAGCTTTTTATTGTGTTTCAGTGAAAAAGTGAAACAAATGTAAAAAGTAAAAACACTTGCATCTTCATTGACACCATTCATGAGCATGGGCAAGTTAATGAGTCTATAGAATTCTACCAACATTCTACATTTCCTTCTACATGCAATTGCACCTCAAAAATATTGTACCATAGACCGAAATTTCTACCACAAATCTAGTAAAATGTAGACGTTAAAGGGGTCATGTAGCCAATGCAAGAAGAATGGCTGTTCCTCGCTTCACCCAATAATCTGAATCTTGAGCACCCGCTTTTAAGTTTATCATGAGCATATAACTTGGTCTTTCCCTTGTACCCGTTCTAATGGGATAGAGATACAGCGGACATTGGTATAAGCCCTTTGGTTGTTTCTTTTTTGCTACAGTAGGCTTGAAGAGTAATATTGGCATTGGCACAATCAATTCCATTGGCCTTGGTTCCTAGAACATGAAAAAGAAACCACAATAAAATCAGTAATAAACATCTAACATGACTATTTTCAAAACTTGAGGATAGCATACATTTTCATAACTAGTATATTTTGATTGCATAGTAAGAGTTTAAAGTGAACCCTTTTTTCTAAAACTTTTAATACTTGCATAAAATAACATTAGTTAAATCCAACTTTGCTTGAGTGTAAAACATGTCTGCACTATTACATACTTAAAGATGATTTAAGTTCTACATCAAATGCTTTTGAATTCATTTACCATTAATTCCTTTTCTCCCTGTCTCTTTGTGTGGATTAGTTTATATATATATATATATATATAGGAACGTTCAATAGACCCATGATTTTACTAAATAGACCCATCCTTGATGAAGTATATGGTAATCACGATGAATATGATTGGTTTCTATTGGTTGCAGATCCATTAGTTGAGAAATGAATTTATAGGTCTTTTTTTAAATTTTTTTTTCATCATAGTTTGGATGGGTGGGTCGATTTAGTAAAAACTTGGGTCTATTTAACATTTCCCTGTATACATATATATTTTTAATTATCATATGTAAAATATTAAAATAAAAAAGCAATGGTTGCAATGCTACTGTGAGGCAGTCGTTCGCTGGATCCCATCCCGCTCCTTCCAAGAAGAGCCCCTTCACGTAAATACCCTCTTTTGGAGGCTCGGAGATATCCATCTCGTCCTTGTACACGGTCGAGAACTCCCAAACCAGGGTATCAATCGGAATCAGGTTACGACGGGCTGTGGTTTGCAGTACCGCCGTTAAGAAGTCCGTCGGGTATGTGAACCCCGCCAGCCAATAACAAACCGGGTATGTGCCGTCCACCCATGACCGGAGCTCCACTATTCTCAACACCAAATCCCTGGCCCAAGACCCCAACGGCTTCACCGTTGGATATGCCCTACAACCGTCGCAACGGTGGGTGCACTTTGAATGAGACCACAATTTCTTCAAAAAAGGTGAAGATTCAGTGAGCTAAAACACTTCAGATGATGGAATTAAAAAAAAGTTTTGTGGGAATTGAGAATAGAGCAGAACCCACGTACTTGATCCAAATGGTAGGAACACGGCCTTTGAGAAACGAGTCGAAGAGAACTTGGAGATCGATAGACATGGTGACGAGCCCTTGGATCCCCTTACAAAGCATGGTGCATTGTTCTCGAATGCTACTCAGGAGCAAGTTGTATCTCTCGATCTCTTGGAATAGCACCGTGTGCAGCGCCGACGGATCGAACGCCTTCGCTGCCATCACCTCCTTCAGATCGAACGACTCTGGGCACTGCACAAGGAGGTCTTGGCTGATGTTGAGAACGAGGTCTTCTGCGCTACCAGAGCCACCCCCACCGCCGCCACCGCCGCCTTGCAGGCTCGCGATGGTGCAGAGGAGCGATCGGCTGTCGGAGAGCTGAAACGCGATGTCGGCATTGGCATGCTGCCCGAATGCCTCGGGCCGGTCTGTACCGGGCAGGGTCTTGATGAATTCCCGGTGGGTTTGCAAGGTGCCGTCATCGGGCACGTGATAGACCGACAGAGAGGAGAGTTCGAAATTGGATGAGGACAGGACGGATGGACAGTAAAACTGGTTGAGGTACGCTGCCAAAACCCGTCGGTCGATTTCATCCGTCACTCGCCCTCCATAGTTTGCTTCCGAGATGAGGAACTTTAAAGCGTCGAACGGCGTTTCCTCGTACTCGTCCAGATAGGTCGTCAACAGGTCGTTTGACACCTGGACGTCCACGTCACACAATACAGTTGGACCCGTTTACTTGTACTTTTACTTTTTATTTGTCAGCGTTAAATTTTTGATGAATGGAATTGAACAAGGAATCGATTTGCATGTTTTAGGGCTTTGCAAACAGGGTGGCATGCCTCAAAGTCTGTATCGTTGAAATCGTAGGGTATGTTGAGACCCAGCGTGCCAAACTTGCGCCTCTCGAGGAGCACGCTATGGAAATAGGCCAACGCAAAGTGGAGCTTCTGGTACTTGTCCTGCGCTCTACATGCGTAGAAGCTCTCTTCAGTAGTTGCTGCATACAACCTCATAATGTTGGCACGCAATCCCTATTTGCACAACACCCAAAAAATTTAATTCCCATCCCATGTACTCTTGAAACCTAAAGCCCTAAACCTTGGTCATTCATCTGCTTCATGGGGTGGAATGACTAGTTTTGTTTTTCTTATATATATATATATATATATATATATAGAATGTGGTGAAGATGCATTTTCATTTTGTTCACCCAAATGAGAGGTTTCTGTGCTGTTGGATGAATATATAATGGCATAGAACAAGAGAAACAAAGTACCTTGGGAGGCTCTGTGGTCATTTTTACACTGCGCTGTAGGATGCCAATGGGGAATTTGTCATTGGGGACACTGGAGAGCCAAAGCCTGAACTCGGGGTTGGGATTACTCTTTTCTAATGCTTGAATAATTTTTTCTAGCTTTGGAAGCCAGCGAGTCATAAGCTGACAATTTGCCAAAAACACCCACCCTCCTTTTTTGGCCTGCCATCCAATCAAATTCCTTCCACAACATTCAAAACTAAAACCTCATCCACTTTGGGCTTCCTATCATATATATATATATATAAGTATGTCTGTGTGGGTCTCAAAATATACATGCCTAAAACTATTCTTTTTGTGTTTTAAAATTCCAAACAAGTGGCTAAGAATCATTTGAGTAATATTTATTGATTCTTTATTTGTATTTGTAATTAATTGTGTTTTTTGAACATCTGAATTTCATCTCATAGAGCTATGGCTATGTGAAAATGTAGTTTTGTTTAGTGATTCATGAAACATAAATTGTTTGTACATTACCTTAAATAAAACCACAAGTTAAATTACCACTTCAAAGTTATTTTAAATTTAGGTGTACCATTTTTAATTCTTAAAAATTAGTAAAAATAATCATCTTTTAAAATGAGAATGTGATTTGGAGTTGGGAGACTTTAAATGCAAAATCATGACTTGGAATACATCTATATATATATATATATATATATATATATAATCAATATTGAACCATTAAATATAGCTTGGACATTATTTCCATTAACCTACACTTTCAAATAAGCACCAATCTAAACTTCAAAAAGCCTAAGTATTTTACTATGTTTGTTGAGCGCCACAATTAGGATCCAACAGTGGTAAGTACTAATACACACCCACCTTCATAAAACTCTGGAGTCTGTCACTAAGACTATGTTTGGTTTTATTTCTTCAGTCAAGAAGATCTAAATCTTCTTGTCCAAAGAAAATGCAAGTCCAATTTTGTGCAAAAACATTACATGCACTTATGAGAATACCACAACTTTTAGGGTTTGGGGATACTTACAGCCTCTTCAATATGCTTGATGGCAATTGGGCCTTGGCCTTGTCCCAGGGCTATAGTATGAAATCGGTCTAACATGTTGTTTTGTGTTGCAAATTGTCTCAAACTTGATGTTGGATCAACTCCTGTGTGTTGCAAGGTCAGAATTATTATATATATACACACATACACACACACACACACACACACACACCTATATATATATATATATATATATGTATATATATATATATATATATAGTGTGTGTGTGTATATGTATAGTGTGTAAGTATTTTGACTTTAGATCAAAATACTGTTGAGATATTAAAACTTACTTCAAACTTCATCTTGCTTTTCTAACAAGTTACTTCATAGTTCGTACATACACACACATACACACACACATACACACACACATATATATATATATATATATATATTTATTATGCAGTGATATTGCTTGGTACGTTTAGAAGATAAACATTATGAATCAAAATGTTCAAATAGTATTTATTGTTGTCTAAAGTTTTAACCATCAAAATAAATATAAAACCCTCAAATCCACTTCATTGTTTATTCAAAATTTCTTTACAAATTTTTATTTATAATAGTTTTAGTGAGAATGCAAACAAATTAAGACAAATATTGTTCATTTGTTTACTTATTTCTTTACCTGGAGAGAGAATGAACAAGAGAGGCGTATGTGGTGCTGAGTCCTTTAAAGACTCCCCTAAGTCCAACATGGGTGGCTCTACAAATCGTTGGCCGAGTGCATTTGACACAAATGTCATGGATGCAAACACAATCCGGTCCTGGACATAAAAATTCAATTCCACTGCTTATTATTTCCATTATATACCCCCACCTTGTTACTTAGTCAATTCATTCATTATTATTTTCCTTAGTCTCCAATTCTTGTTTTTCATTTGTATTTACTTAACTCCCTCATTTTATTTTTATTTTTTCTTCTTCTCCTTTGTCTTCCTTGTAAACCTTATATATATATATATATATATATATATATATAATACTTTGACATTTTGGGTACCTGACGGTAGCAGCGCAAGAGGATCATACGATGGAGTTCGGTGCATTTCTCCTCCCACTCTCCCGGCAGCTCCTGCTCCTCCGGTGCCCCATATTTGAACCATTCCCCCCACAGCTTATGGTCCACAGTCATACTTGCCACCTTTTTAATTCACCCATCCACCCATCAATCAATCCAACTTAAATACCATAAATTAGCATTTTCCTTTTTTTCTTCTTTAAATAAAATAATAATAATAAAAAAAACTCAGATTAAAGCAAGCAACCTTTGAGAGACACTTTGTAGTGCAATGTGCCATCATCCAATAGTCATTTTGATGTTATTTTAAATTAATTTATTGTAAGAGAATGTTAAATAGTCCCAGGTTTTTACGAAATTGACATATGCATGTTGAAGAATATGGAACACATGAGGAATGTGGTTGGTTTTCATTGATATGAGAGGCATGAGTCTATTTAACATTCCCCATTTTTTTTTTTTCACATTAATAATTGTTATACCCACTAAAGAGGGATAAGCACATACAATGTTCTCAAAGGTGGAGAGGGCTGCGAGCCCTGTGACATTGTCCCAGGCTTCTTCCGAAATCCACTCAGGGGCTGGATTTGGAGGCTGCTTAGTGCGGTCCAATACTGTCGCCCCCCTTAGGAAAAACGCCCACTCCTCATGAACTATCTCCCCTGATGTTAACAATATTTTGGACAGAATCTGTCCACACGTTTTTCATCCGTGAATTTTCATCACCATCACCACATTTGTTCATTTACACAAAATACATCCATCCATCCACATCCACATCCACTCTTTCCACAAAAAGTGACTTTGTTGGATGAAAGTTTAGGACAATTGTGTTCCTTTATCCCTTAGATAGTAGGGTTGAATATATAGAGAAAATTTGCATCTTTGAAGTAGGATTCTTTACTTGTAGTGAGAGTATTAGCTTATGCTTTTCAAAAAGTCCTCGTGTTGTGTACTTGTACACAGCATATGTGTGATACTCAATTAAGTTTTTAATACGTTCCGCAATTTTGGCAGACCTGCACATGATGTGTGTTTGTGAGAAACCATGGTTCAAAAATAACATCATGTGTATTACAAACACAAAGAAGTTAACTTTAATACTTTGTTTTAATTGTTTGGGTGAATATTCTGGCCTTACTATTCAATGTTTATTGGTGAAATATGTTCAATTTCTTTGAGTGATGACCACTACTGTAAGAAAACCATATTCATGTTTTCTCTAAACAATCACCATAAAATTCATTGCAAATATTTGTTATGCATAATAGTGACTGTTTTGGATATTTGTAGTGCTTTCTGAAAGTTTGTTTTAGTATAAACTGGTTGAATAATGAAAAAAACTTTAAAAAATCTGAATCTAATAAATGATCTTTACTGTCAAATCACTATCTTTTGGAATGCTATTGGAAGTCAGGATTAAACAATGGATTGATCTGATTTTGAAAGGTGACTTGAATTTGTTGTTGCTATTTTGAAATCGCTTTATATTCTACAATTATCCTACATATACTTTCAACAGATCTCTTTCAGCAGAAAAGAAATGTAATGCAACCATTTTAAACATCAAACAGGTTTGAAGTCTTGTTTGTAAGCTTGTAACTTGGGTATGGTATGAATCAATTTTGCATTAAAATTGTTAAATTTCTCACTGCAGCAATCTCTACAATAAATTATTTAACATCAAATCAACCAATTTTTCTGAGAAAAAATACACACTCTAAAGTACTATCAATCCTTTGTTTTATTTCTAATAAACATATTTAGATAAATTGAACACACACTTGACAGTGGACATGAAATATAATCTAAAGTTAAATTGTTTGACAATATTGCAACAATAGTACATAATTTTTGTTTATAGTCATTTTGGTTTTTATAGGATCATATCCCATTACCAGCAATTCTTTTGGCCACGTCTCTAACATTTTGTTTGAAAATTTGAGAACTTTCCAACATGTTTTGAATATTATAAACATTGCATATATCTTATTTGTGCACATACGTATGAGTGCATATATATATATATATATATATATGCATTGAAGAATATAATTTTTGAAAGCCACATGGCAAACAAATGATTTAGACTGCTTGCAGTTCAAGAAAAGAGAGATTGGAGGCATATGGAGGCACTTTTCATCAAGAAATAAGACTCAATATAATTTGAAGTTGGTGAGAAGTTTAACATGGGTTTTTTTTTTTTTTTTTTTTTTTTTACTTGTCACTGTAACTTAAGAATGATTCAAAATAACAAGTTATCTCAAATAAAGAAACATAGAAAAATAATGTATAAACAGATGGTATTCTTCCTTACCCTTGTTAAATCTTGCCTTGAATGCACAAAAGTGAAATTTAATGAAGTTTACCTCTGTTTGAATCCCAAAAAGAAATTTATAAAACCAATTTCATTTTAAGTTGGGTTCAAACTCCAATCTTAAAAAACAGTCCTTGTTGTAAAAAAAATTAATACAAGATGGTTATAGTAATGAAAATAAATACAAAGAGGGATTTAGGTCATACTTGGCTGATTTGGCAATGGAAGTGAGGAAGATCTCCACATAGGATTCCAAGGAGAATTGATACATGGGGTCAATAGCGATCAACTCTACAAGGATGAAGTACAATAGGGATGCCCTCTCCGCACATGGTTTGTATGCAGAGCTTGCAACCTCAATCATCTTCGATGTCACTTCCGCTACTTCAAGAGATTCTTTCACTTTTTCCCATGTAACCTATTCAGTTTGAAGAAAATTCAATAGAAGCCATGGGATCATTAAAAAAGCATGTGCCCAAAATCAAACGATAGAACTCCATATGTAAGTCCACATGTAAGGAAAAGTGGATTTTTTTAATGTTTAAGGATTTTACATGAGAGACAAACAATGAAGATGCAAATAAAGGATATTAATGGCTCTTTTCACTGTCCACATTTTGCTACTACTTTTATCAACCAAATAATAATAATAATAATAATAATCATCATCATCATTATCATCATGATTACAAGAAGGTATCTCCATAACATGAAAATGTCAATCAAACTTCACACAAAATTCCATATAACACAAGATTAATTGGAGCTCACACAAACAATCTAGTATATATATGCACAAATTCATTTGTTTTGTTTTTGTTTTTGAAAGTAGAAACCTTGGATGTGTCCAAAGTGGCAATGAGTTCAAGGTTGTCAAGAATAGGCCCTTCCACGGTGCTCAAAAGACGGAGAATGTTGTCCTCACAAGCAGCTTGTGTCTTCTTCCCTTTGGAGATGGTGACAATGAGCTCGTTGCGCTGCTTGTCAAGGTCCGGCCGCTCCTTTTGCACCACCACAGTTAGCAGCTGCTTCTCAAGGCTGTCTTCCTTCACCGAGAAGTTGATGATCGTTGTCTTGGTAGCAATCTCTGGTGCAAAATGTGGGTTCCCGAGCTTTGTTGTCATGTAGAGCCGAAAGTTGTCGTTCCAGTCCAACTCTTTGTCGCCCATGTTTAAGTACACCTGACATGCTTTCCTCCCACAAGTTTAGGGTTTGTTACCCACCTTCTAATGACACTTACATCTTTCAATTGGGAAGAGTAAAATGATATGTTCATAAATAAAAAAACAAATAAAAAAAAGAAAAGAAAAAAAGATTATGACCAAGTTTTTTTTGTTTTTGTTTTTGTTTTTGATTTTTTTTTGCATTATAACAACTTCCATGGAGAACATTGGGAATGTAGTACTTTTTAAATTGGATAAGGTTGCAGAATTTCTTCCAGAATATGGTTTAGTTACAATGCTTTGTTTACTGGTTTTAAAATTGACCTTGGTTTAGAGTTATCAAAAGTTGGAAAAGAAACTGCACTTGCAATCTATTATTGTTGTGCTTTATTTGAATGTGAGACTTAGATGGTGTGGTTAAGGTTTTAATGTTTACTATCAGTAATGGTTGTTTTGCTGAGATCATGTGTGTTTTAGCATAATTTGAATTCACATTTGAATCCTCACTTTTATAAAAATGTAGGACAAGAAGAATAGGGTTTTAACTGTGCAATTTATTTTAATACTAACAACATCACTCTTTAGGCAATATCATCAATTCACTCAATTTTCTGCATCACATTGCTAAGTGCATACATACACATATATGCACAAAGAAAAGAAAAGCAAAACAAAACACTCTTATACTCTACATAACTAAAAGTTCCAAACAAACAAAAATACTTAACAAAGTTTTTGTGAAGTCTAATATGAGAATCCTCAAAAAAGACTCTACCAACTTTATTAATGAAAAATATATTAAAAATAAATCTTGTCAAAGATTTCAATCTTCCAATTTCAATATTCTAAACTTCTCTGTTTTGCAAGAAAAAAAAAAGAAAAAAAAGAAGAAGATTTCTAGTATTTTATTTTTACTGTTATTTCAATTCAAATTTCATCAACAATTCAATTTATGCAAATTAAAAATATATTTAAACATAAAGGTCAAATAAGCAATTCTACTGGTGTAAAGATGTTCAACCTTTCCAGAGCGCATAGTGAAAGCTTTGATAAGAATGGGTTCAAGCGATGGATCAATCTCTTCCATCACATCTTGAAGCAAAACCGGATGCCCAGTTTGAACAGCATCTTCAATAATAAGCATCATGTTGTCCATCTAGCAAAGCTCCAAAAATGAGCAATTATCAAAGCAATTGCTTTACAAAAAGCAAGCTTAACTTGAGGAAGATAACAATACAAATGATGGTGAAGAGCGCCAATGTAGAATTGAACAGAAAAAATAATCTTTTATTTTTATTTTTTGTTGTTGCCATTAGGGTTGGAGTGGCCTTGAATTACAAAATAATAGTATAAAAGATATTTCACTTAGAATTACAGAGATAGAAAATTCAAATTCCAATCATGAAATTCCTACTCACCTATTGGAAACTAACACAATATCATTCTTTATGTTTGAGGAAGATGTAGAAAAGATTTGTAAATTATTTTTATTTTTATTTTTATTTTCGATGCAATAAATAATTGAAACCCAGGTGCCAGGTGTGCAAGTGAGTACCTGGAGATCCACAATTTTTAACCCTTTGTCTGCTTCCATGTTTTTAATCCATTTCTTGGCTTGCTCCTAACATGAGAGGGAACACAAAACATCAAAAGAAAATTTCTATTTTATTTAATTGATTCAAAAGTTATGCAGTTGATTATTTATAGCAGGTTCCAACAAAGACCTGAATGTGAGGTGAAACTCAAATCCTTGTTGAAATCTATGGTATCATTAATGACAATGTAATGGATCACCAAAGAATCTTTCATTTCTTATAGGAGATAATAGCCAATATATTGAATTTGAAAGCAATTTTGCAGCTTTTATTTATTTATTTATTTATTTGGATTTTTGGTTTTATTTTCCATTGATTTGATTATACAACAAATACAATGAGTATCTTCCATCACCTGAGGATCAATCATAAGAGACCATCTATTACTGCGAGTTACAATCACTCCATTTTCTGTAGAAAAAGCATCAGCTGGGAGACCCTGCAGGTTCCAATCTCGGACGTCTCCAGCATCCGAAAGAAAGTCCACAAAGGTAAATCCATGCGTGAATGGTATCTCAAGTGCAAGAACCTGCAAAAAAAATAAATTACATTGGAAACATAGTCTTTTATTAAATACCATGTTGTGTCAAAAAGACACTCACTCTCATCTCATTCTTTATATTTCAATTTGATGTAGGAAAGCGCATTCTCCGAGAACCTTTCTATTGGCCATTGCGGCAAAGAAACATACAACGTAGAAGTGAAAAATGTGCATGAATGTTGCATAGCAGGTTCAAGGGACTTCCCAAAAAAAGATGGGTATATTTATTTGTCAAGAGTGTATATTCTTAATGAAGTGTAATTAACTCTTTGTATTGCTCTTTGTTGCAAAAAGGAGAAAGTAGATAATATGTACATATCCATGCTATAAAAGATCTAGATAAAACCCACCTCAGCCATCCAAACATGGTTAACCATCACTTCACGGTATTGGGTGGCAAAGGGTCCTGCATACGAGAGGAATGCGGCAGCCACCAAGCAATCCCCAGGAAGGTTTTTTGTTCCCTCCTCCAAGTTTACAATGGATGTTTCCCATCGGTCTCGCTCCCCTGCCAACCCTAGTACGAGCTTTTCCGCACGGAACAGCTTGATCTGAGATCACACATTATTAAAACATTGGTTCTTGTTGTAGGGAACATCACACAAACGTTTTCTATATTTCACAAAAAATGAAACATTACAATGCATATTTTCAAGTGTGTGTTTCAAACACTCTCATGGGAAATATGTCGAACACCTTCAAATGAAATATATATGCATTCATATGATAGAGCAAAAAATTCATTTTGGAACATGATCCAATTAAAATGAGCAACCTCACAAAAATTAAGAGGCTTACATTGAGATCATCAAGTTCAGCCTCAAGGGATGCCTTGGCAGCCATGGAAGCATCGTATTTGTCTTTAAGAAGTTGCACTTTGGCCATCAAGTCTTCAAGTTGAGCTCTGCATGGAAAAGTGGGGTATAAAAGCCTTTTTTTCATTACCCCATTCTTTCAATCATTATACATATATATATATATATATATATATACATATTCAATGATCATAGGGTTTAGGGTTTAGTTGGAGACCTTGCTCGAGCAAGAGATGCCTCTTGCTTTGCAAGGTTGTCTTGGGCAGCTTTCAATCTTAGTTTCTTTGGGGTAACATCTTTTGCAATGTAGCCATAGGATTCCATGGCACCAACCTTTTCATTCCCAATTTCCAAACATGAGAAAATGGAAGAACATCTTTTGACACACACAAGGAGTTTGCTTCTGTGAAACTAACCAATTGATGCTGTGCTCTTTTGGAAAATAGAATTCTGCTTCTTTGGATTGCTATTCCATTTAACTCTTATTCAATATCATTAATAAAAAAAACGTTCATATTCTCATATATATATATATATATATATATCTCTGTAAATGTTTCATTTCTTGAAGATTTGATGTCCAAATGAATGTAAAAAGAAATTACTATTCTATGACAAGAAATCAAATGTTTTGATAATGGCCAGTACAGTTTATTTCTTTTCAAAAGTGCTATTTTCGATCAGATGTTCAAGGAAAGAGAATATTCACACCAACTTAATTTAATTCTATGTAAAATTATAAAATTATAATAGGGTTTGGAATTTTGTGAGAAAATTGAATTCGAATGTGATAAACATTAAACTTTGATTAGAAAACATTCTTGATAGTGGTCACCCAAGCAAAGGCCTGATTTCTCTCTGATCCATTCTGCTTGAATTTTTTTCATTTCAAAAAATAAAATAAAATAATAAAAATAAACATTTTTTCAGACGAAATAATTGAATGAGTTGAATTGTAGGATTAGCTTAGATCCAAATCATAATAAACAGGAAAGTTATGCAACAAAAGATCCATGGTTTGATAGCACACCCACAAACAAAGGCCTTTACAAGCTCCAGATACTTTCCCAATCACATCTGCATTGAATTCAGCTTTCTTTGTGAACTTTCCAATCTTTGCCAATACAACATCATTCTGCTCACAACATTACATTCCATCAAAAACATGGTTTAGAACAACAAGGTGCAAGTATCCCGCATGAAATTTATTTGAAATTTTAAAAATGTTCATTGCCAATTTTGATATCTTTTGTTAGGACTATAAATTAGGTTGCATTTAGCAACATAACACACTTCTTTCTTTCTTGCCATCTTCTTTTGAATGGTACATTATAAAGTTTTAGTTTTTAGTTTTTTTTCTTAGAGAGTTTTTTCTAGTATTCCATGTGCAAAGTTGGAGTTTTGAGAGAAGTACAAGGAGATCTTTGTTGTAGTTCATGAGTTTGTCGAGGAATTGAGAGTCGCCGAGAGCCAGCTTGGCTTCGGCCCAAGTTGGGGTTCTCTTGAGGACAGTCATGACGGCATTCAAGGTCATCTCAACAAGAGCTGGAGGCTTTGCATATGCCTTCACTTCTGACATGTCCTTCTTTGTGAGCACATTTAAGGCGGCTTCTGCGGCCATGAGTGCTGGCATTGCCTTGTCTAACTCCACTTGACATTCTGCTGCTATGATGTTACAAGCCTTGGCTTCTTTCTCTATTTGAGCGGCTTCAGCATTTACCTATTCATTCATTGCACATACAAACAGAAACACAAACATAAATATGTTAAAATAACAGTAAAATGAAATCTAGAAAAGAAATAAAAAGGAAAATAAAAAACTGATAATAATAATAATAATAATAAAAAAGGAGCAAAAAGAGAGAGTAAAAACAAGGGGTTTTTTTTTTTTTTTTTTTTTTTTTTGTTGTTTGTTTGTTTTGTTTTGTTTTGTTTTTTTCTGTGTCAATTCTATTGTTTGTTTATTCCCTATGTGGAATATGGTGTAGTGTTTTTGGGGAAATTTTAGATCCAAGTTGGAAAGGCTCAAAACTAGCCACTTCAGCAAAAACAACACAAGGTGTATTTTTAACACTTTACCATCAAAAATTGTGATCTTCAAAATGAGTCAAAAATTGTATCAAGTCAAGAAGAAGAAGAATATATATATATATATATATATATATATATATCACATATATAATGTGGAAAAGAAAAATATCAAGAAAAAAAATTAAAAAATCACAGAAAAAACTAGAAAAAGGAATAGGGACTTATCTATCTTTTATAAAGTGAGGAAGTCATGTAAAAACTTAAAATTTAAAATCAAACTTAACAAACAAGGATGCAACATTTTGTGTACAAGTAAAATTTTCCAGTCTTATGAATTATTAAATGTGTCAAAGCTTTGAAAGTGACAAAAGTAGGATTTGTTTACAAGTGCATCTCACAAGGCACTTTAGTTGCAACACTCACATATTAGAATACTGAAAAAGTTAAATGGATATGTTTAGAATGCTATAGACTATTAGTATGAAATAAATCAAAGTACAAGATGCTGAAAAAATGAGTTTGAATCCAACATTATGAATTTCATTTTCCTAATGCCAACAGCTAAGTTTTTAAATTTTTTTATTATTAAAATGTTATGAGTGATCTTTTAAAAAAATACTTGATTAGAGTTGCAATATGGACCCAAAAACGATAGATTTCAAAAACGATTCATGTAAACATTCATATACAAAAAATTGTGTTCAACTTCACTTGATCAAATTAAAATGAGTAAAAACATTTATCTCTTGAATTCAACAAAAATTGACAAAAAAATGAAAGCAGCCAACAGTAATTGTGTAAACTTTGCATAGATTTAAAGAAAATATTTAACCAAATCTTCAATTAATTTCCTTTAAAAAGCCACATGAGCAAGTTCGTTGTCATTCTAAAACCTCCACAACTTGTAGAAATAATTAGCATAATTTACTGTCTTAACGTGCCTTCAAGTTGTGCCATTTTTGCACTCAGTATAAGTATTTTGTTTCATAATGAATTAGGCATAAAATCAGTATTATACACACCTTCAATTCTTGTTCATCCACAGTGCGCTTCTCCGAAATAATTTCCAGAAGCACCTCCTCGCATTCTTTTTTAGCTTTTGCCACCACAACTGCCTTGTCTTGACAAATTACTTGCATTTCCGCTACTTGTTCTCGTGTGGCATTCAATGTGGACAATCCCCCACGAAGCTTTTGAGCTTGGGTTTGAAGTTGCTTCTTCTTTTCCATGAGAAGGGTTTGGTACCTGAAAGAAAGAAAGATAAAACCCAAAGACAAGGCAATTCTTGTGCACATTACAAATAATTCAGCATAACAAAATAATAATACTACTTATCTAGCATCTTAAAATATAAATGAACAAATAAATAAATGAAAACTAGCAAAAAAATTGTTATATAAATTCTTGGTTAAAATCTTTGAAAGATGGAAATAATTCTTAAAAAAGAAAAGAAAAGAAAGTAGTATTGATGTACCCTGTAGCAAACTCCAGATAACTAGTTGGTGTGATATAATTCTTGCGCTTCACTTCCGCATACATTTTTGCGGACATGTCAACAACCGATTTGTGGATAATGACAAACAATTTGCACACGTTGGTCCGTGTCACTCCGGTAACATTCTCCTCATTCTCCAACAATTTTATGGACACTTCATGCAATGCATCTTCGGGCCAATCCAAAAACCTGCACAGTCCAACCAACCCAATTGCTTAACAACAATTGTCAGTGCTGTGTTAATATGTACATACATACATATACATACATATACATACATACATACATACATACAGGGACTGTTAAATAGACCCAGGCTTTTACAAAATTTATGAAGAAAGAAGTAAAAAAAGACATCTAGTTTCATTTCTCCACTATTGGATCCAAAATCGATGAAAACCAACCACAGTCATTATAATTATCATATTCTTCGTAATGGTAGATCGATTTAGTAAAAACATGGGTCTATTTAACATTCGTATATATATATATATATATATACATACATACAAACAAACAGGGTGTCGCAGAATTTTTTTTTGTTTTTGTATATTACCAGTCAATGGTGGAGCAGTTTACGAGGCCGGGGAACATGAGCAGCCTGCGGCTGAAGAGGTCGGAGACGGGGCTCAGGCACAGCACGACGTGCAGGTTGTTGCGCACTCGCTCCACGAAGAAAGACCACAGCGCGTCCTCCGTCTGTATAACGCCGGCGTTCTTCGCTGTGGGGCGGATCCCGTCGAACACTTGCGCCAAGTCATCTTTGTTGAACAGATTCGGCACCTACACGTACGCATCCTCGGTTGTTTGGTTTTCGCACGGTTTTCTTATTTGCGAGATACACAACTTAATAATTCAATATATGTATGTGAGTTCATGCGTGCGTGCGTGTGTAAAAGCAGGATGGTGTTCAGACTTCTCCTGTGCTCAGAATGTTGTTGATGTCCTCCAAGAAAGTTTCTTCCATGACTTGGGTGTCATCGAACAGAAACACCACTTGTTGCTTGTTTTCGCCGATCCCAGCTGCCAAGAAGAGAAGCTTCAAATCATCGTGGAACTGTTGACTGAAATATGTGCGCGTGGTCTTCACTTGAAAAGGCTATTTCAAACAGGACCAATCATTGGTGAGGACACACACACACACACACTCCGTCGATTCAACTGACACAAGCTGAGGAATAAGCAATAGGAAGCTCCATCCTCACCTTCATATCGGCAATGAAGGCCGCCAACTTGGTCAAGCTTTTGCGTCCACTACCCCCGACTCCAACTAGAAGCATATTCCCGCGGGGCTGCATCAACACGCGGTGAATCCTGCAAATATGATCCATTGCGTCCTTGAACATAACCTGATACAGCAACAAGGCTCTAATTCATCAGATTCGCACTAATTCGCACTAATTCGCACGGTGGGCGTTGCACAATCCCCCGTGCGTGGCCGAGGCATGAAATTTCCACCGGCCCACAGCGCCGCCGACAACGCTTTTTTTCTCACCAGGTTCATGCCGAACGTCCCCGGCTGCGTCAGAAGCTCCCGGAGATTCTCCTCCAGCGATTCTCGAAGCTCTTTATAACTGTCGATGGATTCGTAGCGCGCGTCGTCGATAGGCGGCATCATGCAGCTGCTGATCAGCGGCATCACGTTGTCGCCGCCGAAGATGGTTTTCCAGTCGGTGTTGAAGAAGTCCTTCAATTTCGAATTCAACATGTCCTGGGAAATGGATCCGGGTGTCAACGCCCATATATCGATATAACCGGGTATCAATCTCTCCCTTTCTGCTGGAATGTTCGACGGAATTGGATGAAAGATGTGGGTTCATTCGTTCATTTACCTTGATCCATGTTCGATCTTGCACGTCACACATCCGATCCCCGTAGACGCGCAAACATTCATGGATGAATAGTTTGAGGAAACTTGGTTTGGTGTGGTAAGTGTCTTTGTGGCCCACCAATATTCCTTGTATTACCTGCGCATTTGAAAATGAGATTAGGTATTTTTACTAAATATTCATAGTAATCAATACAAGATCACCGCTCTTTTGACACTACTAGCTGAAACTCATGCCATTGGGCATGGAAAAGTTTTTTAAAAATAATAAACTGGAGATATTTCTGCACGTTATGTGAAGCTTTCTATTGGTTAACAATTTCTTTGATTTTAGCCAATGAGAAGGCTTGTTTATCTCTTCGTCTTATACCTAAGCTTCCTTATTGTGTAGATGCCATAAAATATCTATATTTTGGTTGAAGATCTATCTAACATCAATCACTTTATCAAGCACTTTGAAAGAATAAAACCAAGACAAAAACTACAGAATAAAATATTGACTATTCTTTCACTGGAGAAATAACCTTTGCAAGGTCACGCATGTTGAACACATAGTGGCTTTTGCTTGGGGTGGGCAAGAGCATGGTCACAATCTCTTTGTAAACTCCAATACACACATGCATCACCGAGTCCCCCAAAAGACGCACTTCATCTTCAAAATCTGCCAGCTTGGCATTTAAAATGGCTCCAAATATTCTCTTCATTTGCTTATCACTTGGAGCTGTGATGTTCGACTTTTGTTCAGATGTGTTATTTTCATTTTATTTGTTGCCAAATGAAAACCCACAATCAGAAACATGTAAAACTTACTATTGACAGTTTAGCCACACATGTTTATTGTATTTTTACTTTAAACAGAGCTTTTTTTCTTTACAGTTGTGCTTATCAAAAACTCAAAATACTTGTTTCAAATAAAAACTTCAACTAACCTAGCCATGGAGATTGATTCTTCAAATTTATGTAACATAAAATTTGTACATGTTTCTCTTAATCACATATATATTATACTGATTGAAGATAAATAAAATAAATATTTTTGTGAAAAAGTTACCAGAGAGAAACAAGCTTGGATCCGTTGGGAAATACGATTCCGGCCACCACCAGGAGGGGCCATGGCACAAAGCAGCTGCATGTTCAATATTTTCTTCACTTCCTGCTTTGTCCGATCATACCAAAATCCATTGTCCATCCACAACTTTAAAAGCTCCAATGGTGGCATGAATCCGAACTGAACCAACCCTCAAAAAATCCCTCCCCCCCCTCCCATCACCACCTTACATACATGTAATGACATAACCCATATTGCTTATTCTACCATGAATCTCAATTTTTCTTAATAATATTACTATTATCATTTTTCTGAGAGTTATTAACTTAAATCATGGAATCATAGTTAGGTATTTCAATCAATAAATATGGGAGTGTTAAAAGGGTTTGATCAAGCTCACGGCACTTTTTTTGGGCATGTTGACATCGTCAAGGAAGCAAATGAGAAATTTTCCTCCAGGGGGAGCAAACACTCCTTTTGTACGCTTCTCAAGTCGTCCTTCAATACCTTCCTACAAGTCAATTGTTAGTGTTTCATGGTTTTAACATTAAAAATATCCGGGTTTCATTCATTTTAGTGTACATGGTGAAAGGTCAATTCTATTTACTATGGTGTATATTAGATTCAATAAGAGGTGACAAAAAGTTTGACTTGTATGATGCAAAATGTGAATTAAGTAATGTGAAACTACAAGGTGTCCGAACTGATGAATATTATTATGTCAAGTTGATTGGAAATGCACACTAATAGGATGTTGGTATCATAAAATTAGTGAATGGGTTGATTCAAGCACCTGACAACTATTGGATGAAGTTTGTGCAGAGAAGTTCATGGTGAAGGAGCTGAGGCCTTCAGGAAGGGTACTGAGAACTGTTCCAATGATAAGCGTCTTGCCCACTCCTACATTGCCCACGACTAATGTGTGCCGCTTTGCAAGTATCAAGTTTCCCACTACAAACTTGAACCGCACCTGAACATTCAAGATAAACAAATAAATCGCATGAAAGTTTAAAAACCCATCTGATTCTTTTCTCACATTAAAGAAGAACATGAAGCATTTTTTGAATCACAATGGTGACATATTTTAAGAGGGAATTGGCAGTCCTTGGAGGGGGCAAAAACAATGTATTTTACAGTGTCAACAGTGGGCACTTGGATCTTGAAGAAAGGGGCACCCCCGGGGATTCTATAGATTCCCCCAAGCTTTTCCTCCCATGGTGTGAATGTATGTTTCTTGACATCAAAATAGAAATCATACACTAGCCCTGATGCAGGAAACCTGTGTGATAAAAAGAGAAGAAAACCAACAAAAAAAACTATGAGAACAAGTGCTGAATGTAAAATTAGCAACATTATTATTTTAATTTTGAAAATTGTAATATGTATGTCTATGTGTATGTATGTATGTATATATATATATATATATAGAGAGAGAGAGAGAGAGAGAGGCATGAGTTCCAGTTCCTTTCAATCTGTTTTATTTCTCTAGTAATTAAACAACGCATTGTTTATTTTTAAAAAAATTGGCTTCTATTATTCTTTAAACATATTATGGTTCATTCATCCTACTTGCACAAGAAACTACTGGAAAATAAAACTATAAGTTGTTAACTAGCTGCAAGACATCAATATTTCTTGTAAGTTTATAAATAAAATTATACATGTATGTAAATATTTATTTAACAAGTGTAAAGAGGTTTTAAGATGAGAAAATGAACTCATGTCCAACAAAAGAAAGATATTATCCTATTCATGTTAGTTGAATGAATTTTATTTTATTTCAATTTTCAATACTATAAATATAGAAATAAAAATTAAAACAAAAAGAAAAAAATTAAATTAAAAGACTTTTATGTTTGTTTGGATGTTATTGAGGCTTTTAACATGGTCCCAGAGGACAACCCCAATTCTGAGTGTAGGTTTTAAAAGATGCAGTTTTATGTTTATTTTGAAGGTTTGGAGCCATGTCCAAGTTTTTAACAAATCAAAAAAGGAGAAGAAGAAAGACTCATAAGTACTAACACCAGATCTTGAATCAATTTTTATCAAAAAACGAATATGAATATATTTGTTCTTAAATGGCAATAGAAAAAGTAAACAAAACAAGTTACACCAAATCTAATCTTCATGATAGAGAAAAATCCAGAACAACCCCATTTTTATGAAGAACAGTGTAACAGTTACTGATAACTTGATGAAATCATGTTTATTCAATGGACCAGCAACTAATTACATTGGCAAAGACAAATGATAAGACACATCTTAATGGCAAAATCAAACAGAGTGGATATGAACCCTTGGGAGAGAAGACGAGTAAACCTTGGATCTTGGTCCCGCAACCAAACATCGAAGGTGTTGCGCCCAGGCTCGTCCACACTTGCCCCAACCGACCAAATGAGGCAAAACAAAAACCAGGACTGGATGGTGGGAACAAAGTGCTCCCCTTCACTTGGATGCACTCCATTTTCACGGACGGCCAATAGATCAAAGAGCTTGGAGAGTGTCATGAGGCTGTTGAGGACCTCAATCGAGATTGTCTCCACACATGTGTAACGAACCTCTGTTGCCGCATCCATGTATTGTACAAGCAATTTCCGGATTTGATCCAATACCACCTACAATCCCCTCTCCAGAATAATATATACATTGAGCTTTTCAATATGCTGTGTCAAAAAGAAGAGAATGAGTTGGGTGGAAAAACTTTTGACAATGTATGCATTTACACATGTTGCCAATTGTTTTTCCTATTACTAGCACATTAATTTTGGGACAATAGGGTTGAATTTGTAAGAGAATGGTTCCCTCTCATTTTAACAATTCATCTCACACCATATATTGGGCATTGGTTTTGTCATGTGAACACACTTATTTTGCTAGTGAAAGTTTGTTCTCCAAACTATTCTTTCCCTGTGATGCATTCGAATAGATTATGGTTTTTATAGGAAACATTGATGTTTCCCACCTCCCACTTGATACATTTTTTTGTATATTTACAACAAAGCAAGAATACCAATCATACAGGATGAGCTCCATCCGCAGTCCGCCGCTCAATCCACGACTCCGCATATGGCCACCACCCAAGATCTTCCAAGGAGAGAAATATCATGCCTGCACGGCTCACAGTGGCTGGTGAAGCTTGAGATAAGTCTTCCACCTCAAACATTAATTGAATCTGAGAATGACATTTCCACATGCCTTATGTCAATTCAATCTTAATCAAGGTGGCATTTTTTTTTGTATTCTTTCCAAACATGAAGGTGCATGCATGTCATCTCAATTTTATACTCTATTTCATGCCAAGCCAAGTATTTTATGTCTATATTTTGACATACTTGGCTCGGCATATTGATACGTTCCCCATTCAATAGTGTGAGGATCTTATTGTCATCCAAGAGTGTGTTCATGGATTCAATCCACAGGGTATCAACAGGTCCATCAAACATGACCCACTTCAGATCAGGAGATTCATCAGCACAGACATCCCGCATAATGCGTGCCAATACTCCATCCACCCATTCATTGGTGAGCTGAACATCAGTAGTTAATCATCAATTCATTAGAGTTTGTGAGTGTGTGTGTGTGTGTGTGTAAATATATATATATATATATATATATAAAGGTATTGGTTTTGTTTGTGAAAGTATGTATCTTTTGAACTTTACACACTAGGTTGTTCCCTTAAGCGTTTTGACGTTGAAAGAAAACTACAACATTTTGAATTTGACATTCATCATGAAACATTGATTTAGTCCATGTGTGAAAGGGTAACTTGCAAAATCTTTGCAAGAAAACTAGATTTAAAAACAAGAGTTGAAAACATGCATTTATGGGCATTTCTATCACATCAACTGGTTCCAAGTGTTTATAATTTGCATAGGCTTCTTTCATAACATTTTTTTTTATTAAAAAATAAAAAATAAACATGTGCAAGTTACCTTACTTGTAGCCCCATAAATTTCATCATTGGACAATGCCAATGAGTTCATGATGTACACCCAAACTTTAACCCATCCTTCAAGTCCCTCTGCACACAGTTGCCCCCAAGCACCTTGAAGAGCTTTCCACCCCACCGTCTTCCCAGAGCCAGTTCGGCCCACAAGCATATTTCCATGCCGGTATACCATGCAATCATATGTCTGTTTCATTACTTTTACTTCAGATTTATTTATTCATTCATTCAATTTTTCAATTTTATATATATATATATATATATATATATATAATGGAAGTGTGATGAGAATATGAGCAAACTTGCCTGAATAATTTTGTTGACGTAGGGGGCAACAATTTGCATCCCAGCTGATCTGAGCTGGAACTCAATGGCTCGTTTAAGATCATCTGCTTCTTTGGGCACCAATTCAACGCCCGGAAACAAATCTGAGAGTAATGCATTGAACAATGGGAGGTCGGCAAAAATAAGCTTTGGTTTGATCAGGTCTCTCATGGCCCGTTGCAAAATGACATCCTCAGGTAAATCTGGTTCCACTCGTTTCATCCTTCCGGCAGCTCTTGCAATGGGAATGACAAACGACCGAAGCCCGTAGTCATAGTGGTCTTGCTTGGACAATTGTCTTTGAGAAAGTTCCATTATAGCAATAACCTTCTTGGACAAAACCTGTAAAGAAACATACAAATGTTCAATAAGATATTAATACAACACGTGTTTATTTTATTTTGTTAGGGACCCAGTACAATATGATACTACTTTCAACCATTTAGGAAACTCCGAGTTCATATCTAGGTGATGAAAGCAAAGAAAATGACCTTAGCAGTCACAAAGCCTTCACTAAAAAGCATGTTCTCTGCAATCATGGTGAAATCGGGAAGCATCATGGAGACCGGTCGAAGCATGGCCTTCAGGTTCTCTGGGAGCTCACTACGCCCCGCGTATCCAGGATTCATTGTAACAAATATCCCGCATGTCCGGATCAATTGCATCTCTATGCCTACAAATCCAAACACCCTTTTTTGTTGTAATAAAATCATAAAAAATTACATCAAATTTCAATTATTCATACATAGATGACAAAAAGTACACAAACCATGTCAATTTACTTACAGATATTCAATTGCATGAAACAAACCAAAATCTCTCTCTCTCTCTCTCTCTCTCACACCCTCTCTCACTATTTTTAAACAAATGAAAGAAGAAAGAATGAAATACCATCAAATACAAACCGGTTGAGCTCGGCTTTGATGGCTTGCATGATAGCGAAGATTTGAGACGCAACCACAGACAAGACCTCAACTTCAATTCTGTTGAACTCATCAAGGCAGGCCCATGCTCCCGTTTGCGCCAACCCTGAGAACATGGTTGACGTCATCTTATAATCCACTCCATCAGAGCAATTGAACACAATCACATACCTGCACTATTTCCACACTGATTTCAATGGGATCTGTTTGGACAAGTATTAGGACACATTGAATCATAGTAAACAAAAAAAATAAAAAATAAAAAAAATAAATCAAATGAACAAACAAGAACAACAAAAAGTGTGTGCATAGGAATGTAAATCTCAAGTTCTTTTACTTTTAATTTTAATTTTTTTTGTGTATTGCACAAACCTAGCAAGTGCTTTGCCAAAGTCCTTGACTGTTTCTGTTTTCCCTGTTCCTGCAGGACCCAGCGGATTTCCCCCGCGACGTGTGAAGAGAGCAGCACCAAGTGTGATATAACAACGATCCGTGAGAGGAGTTACCACAAGACGCCCATTGTTCCCTTGATACTCATAGCCATAGATGAATTTGGAAAGAACCTGAATATTGAAAGCTAATTTTTTTACATAACTAGAATGGAAAATTATAAATGCAAGATAAATAAGGTTGTAGAATTAGAATCCATCGTTTATTTCATGTATGATTGCAAGGAAAATAAAATAAAATGGAGGAGATAACACACACACACACACACACACACACACAATGGTTTAATATGGTTTTACAATGTACTAGCAACAATTTAGAAATTTCATACAGCAATCACAAATTAAGGTTTAAAATGTGTTAATTTTCATGGTGTGATGCCATAAAACAATATGATAAAAGGAAACTTTGAGTTGTTTGGTGAAGTAAAAAGGTGGCAGTCCACCTGTTTGATTGTGCAAGTGTCATCTTCCCAGTAGAACCTTAACTGAGATGACCATTCAAACTCTTCGGGAGCTGAACATTGGACTCGAATCAGCTTCTCGAGGACATCTCGTGCATGCACCTCAATTGTGATGAGTGACGTCTACAACACCAACCAACATTGCAAATCCCACATCTCTTACTTCTAATGAGTAGATGAAGGGTCATGGATTCCAATGGTGGCTCATTATCATGTCCATTTCATGAATGTTCTAAACGTATTGTTTCAACACAGTTTTTTTATGAATTACATATATATAAAACCATGAATGGCATAAACACATATTATTAGAAAATGTTACTACTCTCAACATTTGGTGGACATTCACCACAAATTGAAAACCTCAATAATGAAGCAAGCCTCACATTGTCATTATGTCCTCTCAAATGCCAAAAATTTGTTTATCATAAATAATGCATGTATTCTTAATTTTTCAATATTTACTTATTTATTTATGAGCATATTTACACATATGTAGAAAAGGGATTTATCTAGAAAAGAAAGTATACACATGTATGGGTTGTAACAAAGAATTACCACTTTGTTGCGATCAATCACATGCAATTTGACACGAGTCATAGCAGTGAGTTTATTTAAGTAACTGATCCATTTTTTGTACAACTTCTTTGTTGCATTTTTTGAGCCAGCAGCTGCCTGTTGAAGAGCCTTTTCTGTATCACTTGTCCACTTCATTTGCCCAGCACTGTTACAAAAAAAACAAAAAACAAAAAACAAACCACCCCACTCCCAAGGCTTACTCACCAAGAAAACCAAAAGAAAAAGGAAAAATGAAAAAAATAATAAAATAATAAAATCAACACCGGAATACAATACACATTAAGAAATTATTCATGCAAGGTGAAGTATTCTCTTAATAAAAAGCTCTCAAATGAACTCAATGTATGAATTGCATTTCATTAATTAAATGAAGATCTCTCTAGGACCTTAAATTTTGTGTAAAAGTAAAATCAGATTAAATTTTTTGATGGAAGATTCAGCTGATGCTGTGGTTATATTTGAACTTCTGAATCTATAAGTAGAACAAAAATATGATTGCAAGAGTCAAATAAAAGTATCCAACATTTCAAACACAATGGTTTTATCGTATTTCCACAAGATAGAATAATGTTAAAAAATGCATAGATGTTAATCTACAAATACATTTCATCTCTTTCAAAGATCATTCTTTCATTTGTTATTTTAAGTTATTTACTTTACTTCCTTTCCTTCTCAAGAGCAGTGGTATTGAGTTGGAAAAATACCTGATTCCAGCTTGGCCTGGGAAGTCTTTCACCCATTTGTCTTTCTTCGGGGATTTGCTTTCCACATAACAACGGAATAGTATCACCTTCACTGCCAACTTCATGGCCTCCTCGACCTACACATATCAATACACACACAACCAACAAATTGCAAAACTGTTTATCATAAATACTCCTGCTGGTAAGTATTGTCCACATTGTTATGTGAAGGAAAAGAATGAAATTGTGAGATGAAAAGTGTGAAACTTCACAATGATTCCTCTCATCACTAATACCTTGAGATAATGCACTCAAAAACCACAATTTAAGAATAGAATGGAATGCTATAGATAGATTTCTATTGAAGCCAATTTTTTCCTCATTTTTCTACTATGCCCTGTCACTCATTGTAGACTCTAGCTACATTAAATTTCTTGAACAAGTGAACACTTTCATTGATGTATACAACTTCCTTCTTCTCTTTAATTTATTACACACTGCAAACAGTATACAAGTGGCATGTTCCACTTTTTATTTAAGATGATTTGGTATGCATTCACCAACCCATTCTCCTTTTTTATAACATCTATGTTTGCACAAAAAAAAAACGTTGTTGATATATGCAAAGGGAATTGATTGGGTGGAGGAGGATGATACCCAATTTAGCCACTCTTCAGGTCGTCCATCAAGGGCAATGGGGGCCATCAATGGAAGGTGCTCTCCATCGGGGGAGATGATGCCTGTTGTCTGATATGCTTTGCGGCCTTCAGCTAGTGATGGCCCCTCCATCACCAGCTTCTTTATCCCCTCAAAGCACTTCTTTAAATGAGCCTTTTTGAAAAATATCACACACACACACACACACACAACAACAACGTTACAAATAACTAAAGTTTCTTTTCTTTCATTGTGAAAAATAACACACACATACCCATTTCTATATATATATATATATATACATTCATCATGGGTGGGTTGATTTAGTAAAAGCCTGCACCTATTTAATATTCCCTTACATAAATAAATAAATAAATAAATAAACTCATAATATTATTTTATGTATTTAAGTTTTGGCTTTATCATGTACTTGGACATTTTGGGGGTCTTTGGCTAGACCAAGGATGTCAAGAAGGTTGTCATTTGATAAGAAGTAGAAGCGAGGGAATTGTTGGCGCTTGAGCTCAAGATAGTCATCTAATGACTTTTGGATCTTCTCCAGTGTTTTGTCCAGCCCTGCAAATACATTTAACAGCCCTGGTCTGCACAGAGCCTTGTGAGCATTTCCTATGTTCTGTTGTTGATGTTGTTGTTGATGTTGTTGTTGATGTTGACGTTGATGTTGATGTTATTGATGTTGATGTTGTTGTTATTGATGTTGATGTTGTTGTTGATGTTGTTGAAATATACACATATTCCAAAACAACACATCTATTAATTTTATTTTTTGTTGAAAGATGAGTGATTATAGAAAACCCCAGAGTAACATTACAGGTGGTGCTGAACTTTATTTTTCATCAGCTTCTTAGCATACTCTGAGCAATCCAATTACATTCAAATTTACTCACATGTCTTTGTAGATTAATATCTTTGATAGATGTGTTTTTATTGATTCATTTACATTATGTACTTTTGATTTGTAAAATTATAACGAATTTTCATCGGAATATGATACTCATATCTGAACATGAGATTATGCCTTGTTGAATATACTTTGTTCTTTTGAATATCAGTCATGTTGCTAGGTGGTGTAAAGGTGATGGCAATTTTTTTAAAGAAAACATTTGACACAGGAAAAAAAAAAAAAAAAAAAAAAAAAAATCATTTATAAAAATTTGTTTAAAAATAAATCAAAGAATAGATGAGTCATGCATTTGCATAGTTATCAACTTTAATATTGAGTTCTTACACAATCATTAGTTTTGGGTGATCAAGCATAAGTGTAAGAGTTAGTTGGGTCAGATCAATAAGCATGAAGTCATTAAACATGATTTGAAAAAAAAACACCCATCTATTAGTATTTTTAGCTTTAAAATGTAGAAAAAATGGTGAATATTATTTTAAAAAATAAAAAATTACTAAACAAAAGAAACATAATGTAATATGATAAGAATTACTTGTATTTTATTTTATAAAAAAAAAATAGAAAAGAGACGTGAGTACATGATTGATTTCTTCTCATAAAAGAATTAGGATTCTAGTGTGAATGAAGTAGTATAAAGACTGGATGAGCTTACATGAGTTTGAAGCATTTCATTGATGAAAGTTGCATTTACGCCTTCAAACAATTTTGTTTCATGTGGAAGTTGCTTTTGAATATCTTCTGATCCAACAAAAATACTCTCTAAATATGCCCATGATCTTTGAACCTTCAAAAAGAATCAAATAATTAAACAGTTAACTAGCCTAAAATCATTGAAATGAATATTGTGGTTTAAAAGTAAATCAGCAGAAAATACAACACATTTGTCAAAATATAAATATAAAATGTGTAGAAGATTATTTTGTGTTGAAAAATCACTAGAAAGAATAGACAAAGAAGCCAAAAAAAAAAAAAAAAAAAAAAAAAAAATGCAAGTGCAAAAAGAGCGCATATTTGTAATACTTTCATTGAACAAATAAAAAATTTAAATTATCTTACAATGACCATTGACTCAACACCATTGTAATTACAACATTTAACTACCCAAAGTATTCATTTATTAGCAAAAAGACATTATCTCATACATTGCAAAATATTTTCAATGTTTCTTAAGTACATAGGGTGAATTTCATTTCATCCATTTGAAAACTTACTTGGATTATCATTTCAACCATCTCGGAAAGCAATGCAAGGTCCTTATCCCACTTGATAATCTCCACGGCAAAGTGTAAGTGGTATCGGTTTGACCTCATGGACGATAATATAACTCTATGCTCCTCCAAAAGTAGAAATAATTCCTCCGTTCCTTTCAACTTCCATATCTACATTATTTAATCCAATGGCCATCAATTCCATCTTTATAGGAACAATATGATAGTCTCATTTCATAACTGGCTAATTTATTATATTGATCATGAAATGTATGGTAAATGAATGACAAATTGAATTGTATCTTAGAAATACTTACTCCTTTTTCGCTAGACATGTCAAGTTTTTGAACACCCCATGCATCTTTGATTTTGGTGAGAGCTTCTTCAATGGCCAACTCCTTTGTTGCTGCAATGCTAAGATCATGTATGTATTCGGCATGCACAGCCAATTGCAACTCTGCTACCTGTTATAAAAAATCATTATATGGTCACAAATAATATGACTTTGAGTTATTAGAGTTGAAATTTTTGATACTATGAGTTTGTTTTTAACATACACAAAAACAAATGGGTACTACTTCTCAATTATGAGTAGAATTACTTCAATTTTATGTAGATACACACACACACATTTATATATATATATATATATATATATATATATGCAATAAATCAACTATTCTGGAAGAGCAGGTTTTTTTAAATCAATAAATGTAAGTGTAATGAAAATAAAAATAATTCTATATGAAATGAATTTGGATGAAGATTTATTCATACATAAATTTAGATTTTTTGTAGTTGCATTTAAATTAAGGACCTCACAAAGAATGTACATTTAAGTTGTTGTTTTTTCAATCAAGAAAGGGAAGAAGGGAAACAAAAAAAAAAAAAACAAAAAACCTAAGGCAAATGAAGAGAAGATAAACACATGATGGACAACTTGAATATTTGATGAAGAACATCAAAACCTGAAAATAATGAAACTGACATATTTTGAAACATGTTTTCTTGTCAGAATTCAACATTTTCACTAATTTTGTATTTGAATTTTGAATTTTGAATTTATTACATTTTCACTATTTTTTTTCATTTTTCATTTTGAATTTATTAATTTTTAATTTTTAATTTTAATTCATTATCCTTTTTTTAAAATTAAAATTTTTATTGGAAATGCTTCCTCAAATAAATTTAGGAAAAAAAAAGAAAACTACAATAAAAATTAGATGGAAATCTGAATTTTGTAGACACCCTAATTGTAAAGCTTTATTCTTTGAGAGAAATAGCTACAAGAGAAAAATGAGTTTGAGCTTTGCAAACATACTTTGGCAAGAGTGAAGTCGTTTGAGCTGGGGTCAAAAAACTGGCCAACATGATCAATCAACTTCATCCAATGCCGCTCCCGCAATGCCGTGTTCCGTAAATCAACCGTCAACGGCAATGTTTGTTTGAAGGAGTCAATGGTCTCCTTGAGTTTTATCCACACCATCCATCTATCATAAGAAAAAAGCCCATCCATCCACATCTTCTCACTTAATACAAACTCCTAATGTAAATAAAATTGTGTTACCATTATTCATTGATTCATTCACTCACTCCTGTTCAATTTCATAAAAGAGAATGATTCATTCATCAATTCATTTAACATCGTCCTCTTTTCCAATAGATTTTTTTTACATTAAAAAAATTTGTACAATAAAATTGTTTCACACAAAATCGAATTAGAATAATAGAAAATAAAAAATAAAAATCTACACTCAAGACACAGATAAACTGTATGGAAGAACATAAAAATTCAATTTCTCTCTAGCAAAAAGAAAACCCAATTTTTTTCAAAAAAAATGTGGATTTTAATCTGAAATTAATTATTTTGTTTCTGATAACAGTCATGCATTGTCTCCCTTTGGATTTTTAATTTTCAAACATACATTACATAGCTTTAAAAAGATTATCAATGGTGGCTCATCAACCCCCATGAGTGGATTTGGCCTACACTAACACTCTTTTGAAATTTTACACATCTACACAAATTAAAGACCTAAGAGGAGCAAAAGCACAAGTTGCATAGTGTGGATGGCCTAGAACAGAACTTTAGTCTCAAATGCTTCCATATCTTTTCTCAAAGATCTAACTTTCTACTTATCTAAAAAAATAACTTACACTCTACAATGGATATGATTATATTCTGCTTCTGTAGTGTAAATTTTTTTATAAGTACTATTTGATTTAGTCTATACATTTGTACTTAGTGTTATAACCTCATTGTATCCACCATAACTATATGTATATATGTATATGTATATATATATATATATATATATACACACACACACACACAGACACAAAGAGACATAGAAGTCTTCTAATTGACCATAAAGTAGAGAACAAGGTAAATGCAGGAATATGAGAATGATGGAACATGGAAACAAGGGGGCATGTATGAACAAGAAAATGGATGGATATGCTAGAGATTTTAGTGCTCAATGGCGTAGGTTTTTGCTAGAATATATATATATATATATATATATATATGTGTGTGTGTGTGTGTGTGTATATATGAAATCCACATACGTTTTGCAATCACGGGCAACTTTGAAGAGTCGTTTGCTGAAGAGCTGGGCAGCGGTTTCCATGGAGCCAACATCCAACTCGCTAAAGAGATCCCCTTTCCATCCGTTGTAAGCATCCTCCCATTCTTTTTTCAAACTCCACATCTCCAATAGAATGTCAAGCTCTTTTGCAGTTTGGATGTTCTCCTTGTTTGACAACTTCTCCATCCCAAACAAGGCCATTCCTCCCCATAGCTCAATGGCCCGCTTTTGAAATGCCTCCACCTATCATCACCTCAAACACCTCATTATTCTCATTATTTATTTAATGAAAAAGAGATTAATATATATATATATATATATATAGAGGCAATGAAGAAGTTTTGTGTGGAGTTTTACCTTTGCTCGCTCTTCCGTGACAAATTGCAAAGCTTCATTGGTTCCCATTGTGTTGTCCATGGGCATGTGCTCCACAAATGCTTGGCGTGCATCCACCACCTTTTTCCCACATTAATTTTTGCAAAAAATTAAAATGTTTTTTTTCTCATTCACTGCACATGTTGCAGAATCTGACCGTGAACTAGTTCATCCAACTGGCTTCACTGTAGCAAGTTCATTGTGTAGTTGGAGAGAAAGTACTGAAGTGTAAGTGGACATGGGTTGTATGAGCAAACATGGAGACACACCACTTCACAAGAATCTATTAAATGGAATTAGGGTTTTACAATTGAATTTCAAACAGCAAACAAGTGAAAGATACTTTTTGGAGAAATCTATCATCACATGGATGGTAAGATCATTTTGAATTAACATATACAAACTCCAACATACCTCAGTTACAAAGCTAACAACCATGTTTTCAAGGGTATCACAGAAGCTATTTTTGGCATTCTCGAGCTTCAACTCCACCTCCACAAGCATACCTTTGAACTCTTCCCATGCATTTGGGAGCCTCTCTAGTAAAGCCCTCTCCTCATCACTGAGTGGCACCTGGATGAACAAACACATACATCCACATTTTTATTTATTTTTTTAAAATAATTTATCCGTAAAGCTAATGTGGGTTTAGTGAAATATCTTACAAAACAGTCCATTCAAGACTTGTGCACTTGTTGCAATTTGAAGGGAGAAGGTTGAATTGGGTTTTACCTCAAATTTGCTGAGCACTCTGAACTTTTCATTCATGGGATCAAAACGCAATTCCATTTGACTACGCTCATCACAAATGGACTTCCACAGCTGAGCAATTTGTGTTAATTCGGCTAAATTACCTGGTGGCCTGTTGCAATCTTCTTTATTCCTGTACTAATCCACCACTATTTTTATACTTTGAACATGTGCTTATATACAAATATATATATATATATATATATATATAGATGTATGGGAATATTAGTAGGGCTCAGCTCTAATGTTTCAAATTGTACTTTTCAATGTAGATCAAAAATAAATTTACTCTGTTTTTATTTTTTCTAACATTTCAGATCACGAACATAATTCTTCAGACAAATGGAAAACAGTAATTTACATGACCTTCATTATGCTTTATGATCATTAACAGGATAGCAGTAGTAAAGATTAAAATACATTATTTAATTTTTATCTTTATTTTCCACAGTGAAGGTACTTACTTTTCAAAATATGAGTAGATGGAATAGAGTTCCTTTTTAGCAATTTGATGTAGTAATGACCTGGTGTTCAGATATTGGTTGAAAGATACATCCAACATTATAAAATTAATACCACAATAACAAAATTTGATATGTAACTTAATACTATTTTTTCTGGGGGATTTAACATTAACGCATGCAGATTTATGAAATTGTTTTGCATTTCTAGAATACATTAAGAAGTCTAAAACAACTAGTATGGAATACATGTAGATTTGTTTTTTTTAAATGTTAATGTGAAGTACTAAATTTATAAGGATAAAGGACTTGATTTATGTACACTTACTCAAATTTAAATATCCATGCTTCACAATGCTCAATTATTGTGTGTTTTAGAATCCCATTTTCAATTCTCAGGTATCGCATATTGGATATGGTCTCCTCACCCTGGGAAATAATGTTTGCACTATTTTTTTAATAAAAAGTCATGTGATAGAAGCTGATGGGTTATTTGAATTATTTGTATGGCATGGAATGAAAACATGTTGGAACTTTTCAAAAGAAAAATAAAAAACAAAAAAACAAAAGAATTATCAACAGTTTAAGGCTAATTCAATAACATTTCATGGTTTACTCTGGTCCAGAATAGCAAAACAAATCAGTTCATTATGAGTTCAATAACAATTTTTTTATTAAAAAAATTGCTTAAAAATGCACAAAAACAACTTTTGAGAAATCTCATTGTCATTTTATTATAACACCTTTTAAAAATGAAATAAGAGAAAAAATTCAATTGAAAATGTTTGCATTTTATCACAGTATGTATGACAATATTATAGAATCCAATCAATACAAATTTCCCTAAAGTCAATTTTTATAAATATCCCATCATTTATCATGTTTTCAACCACCTATTAAAGGGTTTCAAGTTATTTTAGAATTGTGTTTTGTTGGGTACATGTATACTTGAGAAATTTATCAAGTAGACATGTTATAGCATGCATATACTACACTACCAAAATGTGTCATAAAGAAACCCTGAACAGAATAATGTTTCCTTCAGATAAACAACATAACAATTAAAAAGAAGTTAAATTAAATTTAGTGCAACGATGAATTATCGACTGATCTCTTATTTTTTATAAATATATATATATATATATATATATATATATATTTCGTGATAATGGTAATTTTACCTGCACATCCTCTATATAGTCTTTGTATTTGATGATGTCAAAATCAAAGGATGAAAGAGGTTTTTTAGCACGTTCATATCTGCACTCCATTAATATTTATTTGAGTTTACTGAATGCATGCAAACACACATGTTATTTGTTTATTTGTTCATAATTTCTTCTTTCTTTTTTTGTGATTTTTTAAAACAAAGTTTCTCAGAACTTGAATGAAGTGCAGTAGTGAGATAATTTATTTTAAAGTTTGAAATATATCAAGTAGCTTACTTAATCCTTCTCCTCACTTACTTAGAAGTGGACATTTTGTGAAAAAACTTATTCAATGTTTACAAGTTTTCATTCATATACACTGACTTTTGTTGAAACTACATGTATATATATATATATATATATATATATGTATATTCATAAAAAATCACAAGGGATATAGTATCTAAAATTTTGTAATTCTATCATTTTTCATAGCTACAATACAACTATCAAACCCCAACTTCCTTAAAATTCTGTAACACAACATTCTGTTGCATAACAAGGCCCTAAACATTTCATACTTTTACAACTTTTATTAAAAGTAAAACTACAAACCTATTCACAAAAAAAATGTTTGAAGAAATAAATGATATGGTCCAATGTACCTTCTGATGAATGCATCTTTATCTTGATCCCAAATGCTTTTGAATTTCTTCTCCCAAGATGACAAAAGGGCATGAACTCTATCATTGATGTTCAGCATGCTTGATGTTATAACATTCAGGATGTTGTCTTGCTCTGGAGCAATGACCTAAAACACAAAAAATATTAAGATCCTTGGAAGGGACATAAAACTCATCTCCAAAAAACTCTTAAATTAAAATCCAAAAGAAGAAAACATGAATTCTTACTCTCTTCGTGTGGAAATTAAATACTTAAAATAAAACACATAAATATTGTTTTAATTTTATTTTATATTATGTATAGAAGGTAATATATATATATATATATATAGCACAAGACAAGAGGTATTGGAAAAAGTTATGGCATCACCTCGTAGAAGCTTGGTAGAGTTTTAGAGATGGAGGAATTAGTGGAGTTTGTCAATGGTGTGGATTTGCTTGTTTGTGAGGAAGAAGTTGTGGAAGATGTGGTCAGAGGTTTCTTACTCCCGACCCCCACGGACAGCGCTTTATCTTTCCCGGATGGCATAGATGACTTATCTTTTGCTCCTTGAACAAACATGGTGAGCACAGAGGGTTGATTCTCACGAAGTCGGGGTATGACTGATGTCACACTTATTAGATCTCTTGCCACTTTTTGAACCATTTCAATGAATTCCTACATTTGATTTGTAGAATTAAGTACATATAAATAGCAAAGAAAGAAAGAAAGGTACAAATACATTTCAATATACATGCATTTGTTCATTAATTACATCATTATTACCATATGCTGCTAATTTTTAAAATGTTTGCTTGGATTTGAGGTGTGGAGGTGAAAAATTACTTGTAGGGATGGGGAAATTTTCACATGGTGGCTTGATTTATCCAGCAGAGACAATGTTTTGAATAATGGGTTGAGAGTTTTGGCTTCGGGGCTGACCACCTTTGCGAGCTCTGCGAGAGATCGCATGGTTGCTTCACGTAATGCACCCTCCAATTCCACTTCTATCTAAGCCGTCAATTATACCCAATTCAAACCAATAAAATTGTTAGACTTTTTTCAATACAAGCAAACTGTGATATGAGTTGAAGGAAATGTGTGAAATAGCATACCAATAATTGAAACAATATATTTCCAATATGCACTTGTGTTTTTTTTTTTTTTTTTCTTTCTTTATTTTTTTCTTTTTTCTTAAGAAATATATTTTACTCTAAATGCTACAAGAAATACAAAGGGTAAATAATTAGGAGTCCCACCCTTTCACAGTATTTGTCCCATGCAACATAAATGTCTTCCGTGTCACTAGCGCATTTAGAATATGAAGTGGCCACCATGTCTTTCAAAGAGACAAAGGCCCTTTCGAATTTTTCGCACATGGTGGTTTGATACTTGGTTTGGATGCCTTCAAACTCACTTATCTCGTATACCCTTTTTTTCTCGAGAAGGATCAAAGAGCTGATGCTTATGTCATGGCAAATGGCACTAACCTTCTCACTTGAGGATTCAACATGGAGGATTAAGGCTTCAATCACTGAGCAATTAATGCGGACTTTTAGAAGGAAGTTGTGGATGTCATCCCTCGGACTCATCCATGTGAGCTGCACCCCCCCCCCCAAAATTTGACTTAATTTTTTCATTAAAAAAACTTGTAAAAACAATCACAAAACACAAATCAAGCACACACTTGTGCAATTCATTTTGGAAGAATTCAATTCTACCACCCACACACACACATCTATATATATATATATATACATAGCTCCATGTAGAAGTGATGTTTTTTATTTTTATTTTTAAAAGAGAGTAAACCAGATGTCATTGAGGTGTCAGATTTAACTCTGTGGACTATTAAATAATTGAAACATTTTTGATATAACATTATCTGTATGTACTTCTAACTAAAAAAAAATTGAAAATACACTGGAAGTTTACATTTTGAGGTTTCCAAATGTTAAGGTTGGGTTAAAGAGTCCTATTTATTTGTTTATTTAGTTAATTATAGATGTTAAGAAATGGATTAGAACCTTTGTTAAGAGTGTGTGTGTCAATGCACACTTATACACATAAGAATTATTTTGAAGCAATTAGACATGTGTGAGACTTAAACCAATAATGTTCATAAATCAGAATAAAGTAGAGTTATAACTTTGGACAAGTAATCACTATTAATTCATATTTACAACTCATGATAATGAATGTGAATTTTGAGCATAAAACCCTTTTTTGAATTCACTTGTTAATTAAATATTTTGAATGATAAACTCATTCTCTGTGTGTGAAACCATACACTTATATTATAAAACACATATTATTATTTGTGAACTCTTCTTAAGTCATTAGTCATATAAGTCATGAGTCATCAATAAGTCATTAAAAAAAAATTAGTTGCAAATCAAATATTTTATTGTTACAAAACAAAGTTTTTCATGAAAATATATATATATATATATATATATATATATTGCAGTATTGCAATATTTCAATATTACTACATACATATTATTAAAACTAGAAAAACTTGGCATTTATGCAAGGATAGAAGAGTATCAAAGAAAAAAAATTGATAGAAGAAAGCTTCTCAAGTCTGATTTTACATCTAAGCAAGGGTAAGCCAAATGTTATATTTATTGTTAAGTAAAATTTCTGACAAAAAAATAGAGGAAAAAAGAAAAAAGAGAAAAGAAGTGAATAACAACAAAGAAGACTAGAGGCTTCAGGAAAATTTTAATAAAGTACTTAAAATACTATAAACCACAAAAAGAATTGAAATTTATTATTTCACTTGCTGAACCACTTGATCTTGTCATTAAATTATGCAAACTTTTTTCTTAAAGAGAAACATGTGAATTCAATTTTAACACCAATTTTTATTAATATTTTTTAAAAAAAATTCTATAAAAATTTTCAGACTCTAAATTTCCTACTTTAAATAGATTCATTTTCATTCTTTAAAATAAACTCATGAGTAAAAAAAAAAAATTACGTGATTGTTAGGCCAATGCAATTACATGAAGATTTGACCATCCTCTAAAAAGACACAATATATGTTTCATTAAAATAAGAAAGAGCGTAATTTTTAATTTTTTTTAATTTTTTTTAAAATTTTGTTGAAGTATCAATATTACTTTTCAAGGTTTGATGAGTACTCTTTTTTCAGCTCTAATATCTTATGAATCATGTTGTCAACAAGTTTAAAATTTTGAATACATCTTTGCAAGTTTTATCACAAAAATTAACAAAAACATGGTGAAATTAAGAGGTGGTAGCATGCAAAATCAATTATAAGTTTCATGAAGTTTCTTCCAACAATATATATTCAATAGGGGGTGTTTAAAATGCTTACTTGCTGAATACTGGGTTGCAATGCATCATTTATTTGCATCACACAATCCTTCATCAAACCTCTCATGACAAGATCCATGTTCCCCAGCAACTGCCATTTTTCAAGTTGGGACAAGATAATTATAATTCCACTTGATAAATTTTATGACATTCATATGAATTAATTAACCACAATTTATCATTCAATTCTAAAAAGAAATTATGATCTTGTTAATGAAATTTTGATATTAAAGTTAATGAATTTTTATCAAATTTTAGGACATGAATATTTCTATGTATAGTGAAAATGCTGATAATATTTTTATGCATTACAATGAGCATTGTCATATGCATGTAACATATTATCAAATAGGTAATTTACAACCTTATTGTAATCCCTCGCCACTTGGAAAACATTGCCAAACACCACCAAATAGTCGTGATGTTGCTCAACAAATTTGGATGCTATCCAAGGTATTTTGAAGTCTAGTATTTGCCAATAATGTACCTACAAAAACATGTCATCAACAATTTAAATGATGTAAAAAAAAAATTCTTGAACTTTTTAAACATGTATATACTTTGAATCGATACTACTACTACTACTACTACTATTATTATTATTATTATTATTCAATATAGATAGATAGATAGACATACAGACATATTTATTTTGGAGATGAAGAATTTTAAATTATTATGATTTTTCTTCACATAACAATTTTATTTTTTTTCAAATGCTTTGTCCAAAATAGCCACTCAATATACAACATTCTCCATACACTTTACAACAAAATATCAAACTTGACTTATTTATACTTCTTTTGTTTCATGAAATTTTATTTTCAATCTATGCTTAGAGAGGTACATTTTAAAAGCTTCAAGCACGGCATGAGCCATATCATTAGAAAAAAAAATTAATGGCTTCACCTCTTTGAAGAGAGCCAAAACACGAGCATCTGAGCAGAGCTGAACAACATCATCACCAACATATTCAAGCAATGCAACTTGAACCTGCTTCTCAAGATTAGAATCCAAGGTCTCCATCCATTCCACATATTGCCCTTGAACATACTACACAAATCCATCCATCTATCATTCATCATTTATCATTCATCCATATGAGACAAGATTTACAAATACTTTTGTGTGATGAGGTGGCAAGGTGGATGCCACATAAGCAAAGAGAGAGTAAGTATGAGAGAAAGTAGTAGTAACTTGTTCAATGCTTGTGACAAGAAGGTTGCATTGTGCGCCAAAGTCGGGGCTGCAGTGATTCTCCAGCAAGTATGGGGTTGTATCCATGAGCAAGGCCATGGGCTTTGTGAGGCGGTGTTGGAAATGCAGTGCCCATATGGCCCCCCCAGCAAACCTCGGGAACGTGTGCTCCATTAATGGCCGCCGTCGCAATAGATCAAATTGCCTCTTCATTGTGGTTAGCTCTCCCATGAAAGTTGCAAACACCTGCTTGCTCCCATTCTTTCATTTACTTGTTCATTCATATTTTGAAAAATAGTTGGATACTTCTCATGGTCATGAACTTGTATTGTAGTGTGTGTAAATGTGCAAATAACAATTACATGTGAGTGAGTAGGCAACTCTTTTCTATTACCATTTTAAACAATTGTAATTGAATCTTGATTTTATTATATGGTAGAAGCTTAATGTACCATTGATGTCATCTTCTCAACACACACTCTAATAGAATTCCGGCATGCCATCAATTTAAAAGCTTCCAAAAGCTCTATACTTTCTGATAATGAGGTTGCATTCTTGAGTGCCATGAGCATCACATTCTTCACCATAATCTAAACACAATTTTAATTTGTAGAAAATTTATGGAATAAATAAAAAAATGAATATATATATATATATATATATATATTCTTTGACTCATCTACTATACAAAACCTCCTACTCTTCAATAATTTTCCATAGAAGCAATTAGAATAAAGTAGAATAAGAAGAAGAAAGAGTCACAATCACATGTCTTTTCTACTAAATACTATGATACAATAAAATTAATAAAGTTTATTTTTAAAAATAAAAAATACTTAAAAACTAAGTGAAATGAAAAACATTCATATTAATAAAAGTATTATATATGTGTATGTATATATATATATATATATATTTTGTGGTGACTAGTATATTTCTACCTCCAAGTCCACCACAGCAGCCTTAAATTTGTGGTAGTCAGTGTGCCATCTTGTGACTTTCACATCCAACAAGTTGTATGACAATGAGTGCAACTCTTTTGCAAGTTTTTTGAATGTGGCTTGGGCATCCATCAATGACTTGGACACTTCCAATCCTTGAGCTCCCGCAAAAGATGGAACCCTCACCCGACTTGAAAATTGGCTTTGGGCATCACAAACCTAACAAAGCCATGAAAAAAATAAAAAAATAAAAAATCTAACATATATATATATATATATATATATGAGTGTGTGTATAATTGATTATTATTATTATTATTTTACCACCACCTCGTCATTGAAACTCTGTGAATTACATGGAATTAGGGTTGTGGGGCACACATACTTCGAGCATGTCTTGGCATCGTTGTAGAAAGGCTTCCACGGGTGCAAAAATGATTTTACTGTTCCAGTCCAACACTCTCCGTTTCTTCTCCTTCATTGCTGCAGGGGCAGCAGCGTCGTCTCTGTGTGAAGGTTTTCTGCTGCCCGCAAATCCGACAGTTGCCACGTTGTCAAGCATCGTGGAGTAGAGGTGCTTCCATGCCACGTTGGCATGGATACTCTCCCTCAGCGCCACGCGGCTGCTCTCCTCGTCCCCGTCAAACACGTCACGCAGCGGAATTCCCGCGCAGCACCGCTTTATGATCTCGTTGCTGACCTGGACGCCGACGTGGCTTTATTCACTACCATCCTCATCGTAGAGGAAACGAGGACGTGGCAATGAGAACTTTTACGTTTTGGACACGAGGGTTGACGTGGAGGGGGAGAAGAGGGGAGGGGGTGGGTGGCACCAACCAAGCAGAGGAGGGTAGTGATTTTGTCGGAGGTGCTGTAGAAAGAGCTGAGGGTCCAGATCATGCGGATTCCGCGCAGGATGGGTGGGTAGCACTGAGGGATGTCGCGGATGGGGCAGGTAGCAAGAACATGGCAGGGCTGTTCCAGAACAGCCAGGTACTGGAGGTTGTCCTCGGCGATTTCAGCCTCCTCCTCGATCCTGTGAGACAGTTCCAGAAACGGAGCCAGGTAGGACGACCGGAACCTCTCCAGCACCGTCAGCACCTTCCTCGTTTCCTACGTGGCCCACCCCACCCCCACCCCTCGTCATCTTATCTGACGCGGCACACTCCGACAGACGGATGGATGGATGGGGTGATGGATGAATACATGAGTATATGGATGAATATATCTCTCGGGATGTCCTTTGCTGATTTATTTATTTATTTTATTGTATTTTAAAATATAGGTTTAGGGTTACATTTATACATACACATATAACTATAATCATCAAATACAATAAATAAATAATCACTTATGTTCATATATATATATATATACATATATAAGCAAACATAAAAAGAAATGAATGAGTATAAATAAATTATTAAATGTGTGTACATGTGTAGGTATATATTTATACAGAGAAATAATTATTTATTTATAATCATTATTAAAGAATGAAACATGAATTTACAAATATGAAAATTTTGGAGCTATTATGGTTTTGAAGATCTTTTAATGAATATTAGTATTTGGAAGGGACACAGTATTTTTGAAGTATGCACGTCAGAAACCTTCTTCTTTTTATTAAAAAATGAATGAAAATCGAAAAAAGAACTGAATAAAAAATATATAACTTCAAAATAAGGTAGGTTCTAATTGATTTGGTTCCATCTATTTCTGGTGTGGAGGAAATGGGTTTTGGAGCAACTAGTTAACAAAGGTATTTTCCAAAGATGATATGAGATCTATTAAAGAACGGAACTCATGATTTAATTAACAAATTGAGATTTAAATGCAAAGAGTGAAGTTAAAAAGATTTAATTCAAGAAAATATAATCATTTCAAATTTTAAAATCATTTACAATTTACTTAGTACTATGAGCATTTATGATACACTTTTTTTATGTAATAAATAATAAACTTATTACTTGTTATTTTTTATATATTTTTCATATTAATTTTTTTTAAAAAAATACTACAATAATATCAAATAATTTTCAAAAGAGACTAAAATAATTTTTCGAATAATCATAACTTTTCATTGGAATTCACACTGAGTATTCTGATGTTCACCAGTGTAAATTTAAACAACGATTAACATTATATTTATGATTGGTAAAATTTTGATATTTTCTTTTGCAATACATCTTTTCAGGGAATCCTCATTTATAACCAGAGCTCATACTCTGCACATGGATTTCTTTAAAAGAATAAAAAAGAATAAAAAACGATAATAATAATAATACTAATAATAATACAAAAATGTGCTTGGAACTTTGATTTCAATTTTGTTTTCAATATATATAAATATATGTATTTATATATATCCTTTTATATATAACCTTTCATGATATTTATATATACATATATTTATTACCTTTCATATTTGAAAATGATAAAATAATATCTAATTAAGGGGATATTTACTCTGATTATTGAATAATTTATAACAAGTTGTATCTGAATGAAGATTAAAAGATGCAAATATGAAGAAAATTTAGGACACCAGTATCCAAATAAGTAAAACATAATCATATTAATCTGGTTTATAATTTAATTCGTAGTTTTAAAGATCAAACATTTTAAAGGCAATTAATCATGTTTAGTATTTGAATTAGAAAAAACGTAACATCCTGTAATCTTTAAAGCTAAAGAAATAAAAGTATAAAGTTAAAAAAAAGAAAATAGGATATTGAATGGTTTTTTTTTTGCTTTGATCCAACAAACCTAAGCAAGTTACAAAAATTCATGTTTTCTCAAATGTAAAATTTTCAATGCACAGATAAATACTTATTCAGTATAACAGGTTTTGGGATTCTAACATTTGTGATTAGAACTTTCATTAACATAATTTCGGTTAATGACCATGAGAATGACTTTTAGTTTTTTAAAATTCACAAAATTTAAGTGTTTTAGGATGAATATATATATATATATATATATATATATATAATTAAACTTATGATTAAAGCAATACTTATTATTGAGAATACTCATCATTTATTGATTTTATCGTTCAAACAGTGCAAATTCAGATTATACTACTTTTTTCATTTCCACGTTGTTATTTGACTTGTATCAGTTTTCTGAGTACATGAATATAATTACATATTATAATTTCTTTGGTGGATATGCAATTCATATATATATATATATATATATATATATATATTTACTACTTTATATATTTCAACCAATGTAAAATCATTCCAAACTCTTTATTACAACTAAAATACATGCATTTATGTGCATTTATCTATGTTTAAATCTTATGCACAGATTTATTTTTTTTCAGTATATAATCGAGTAATGAAACAACAGCAAGTAAAGATTGAAATATTCATACCGGTTGTTGGATTTGAGAAAAAATGCCATTCATGTTTTGGCTTCGTTGGCGCCAAAACTCAATCTCCGCAAGGGGCCCCATGTCTTCATTTTCACCATGTTCCCCTTTACTTCTAATTACCTACAACATCTTCTTCTTCTTCTTCTCAATATTAGATTTACAACTCTTTATAAAAAGCATCTCCACACAAAAAATAAAAAGAAAAAAAGAAATTCTTTTCAATCTTATTTCTAACATAATGATTCCATGTTCTTCTTAATTAATGAAAAACTAGCTTTGGGTTTCATGAAAATATTTGGTACGAATTGAAGGACTTGTTGTTTTTGTTTTATGTTAAGGCATATCCAAATCTTTGGGTATGCTTTAAATTTTAAAAAATAAAAAATAAAAACAGTGTAAAGATCATGTAAATGTAACCTGCTTTTGAAAAGTGAATTCATTTATTATACACAAAAACATGTTGATAATTTTGGCATTTGTGTAAAACAAAGATTTACACAATTAGGCAGTTCAAGTGTGATGAAGTTATACCTGTTATAGTATTCTCTTGGTTATATTTTTCTTGTGAGATATGACATTATAAGAATATTTCAATTTTTTAAGGAATATATAACTGGTTTGTCTAATATGAAAGTTACACTTAAGTATCTAAGAAATGAAAAAAAAGATGAACAAATGTATCAATTGTCTCTAATCTACTACCCAATAAGATACCACACTTTTAGGTCTATTATCTTCCACTTAAGAAGCATGAATGTATATATATATATATATATATATATAGATAAAAGGAAATTTGTTGTAAATTTGTGTGTAAATTTACAACAACTCATAGGATTTACGTGTCACGCCAAGAAGGGATTAAAGAAATAGCAACCCAAATCGTAACAACCAAGTTGAGCAATTTATTGTTTTGTTTATGTTTTTTTTCCGTTTCTGACCGGGTCTTCAACTAGTGTAACGAAGTGATAGATTCAGCTTACATACACATACATAAAAAAAGGCTCATCCACACACACACACACACAGAAACACATTTTTTATACAAGATAGATTAACGTATCACAGGATGCAGTTAGAGTACTGCACAGAAACTAAAAACCTCGCAACTGGGCACACGCTACATGCCCTAACAAAGGCATAACATCAAAACTGTGAAGAAAAAACGGTATTTCAGAGCCAGATTTCTCTGTGTGTGTGTGGGGGGGGGGGGGGGGGAGGGGGTTTTGCGACATGCCTCTTTGATCTGGCGAGTCCACCGGATGATGACTTGCTCGAGGCGCTGCGTGAGCTCCTTGTTCTGGGCCTGCTCTTTGATGGACCCGCTGTAGTGCAGCGGAGGAAGATACAGCAAAGTCTGCCCTTTGGCCTCATAAATGGACTCCGTCAATGTGGCCATGAACTTGCCGAAGTCCTCCCTGAAGTCCTTCGTCACACTTCCTTGCGCTGCCTCGTTCTCGAAAACCAGCGGCACGTATATGTCCTGCAGCACCCACACACCCACACACCCACACACCCACACACATGAATATGTATTTACATATATATATATATATGTAGTATATTAGAGTGTTGTTGTTGATCTGTATGTGGGGGCATCACCACTGGCAAAGCAATTGCCACTGCGGGATTGACTGAGCTCTGACCTTCAGGATGCGCAGCAGGCTCTCGCTGGGACTGCTGTGCAGCAGCTGGCACTGAATGGCTTTGTCGATGTTCTCCATCGAGACGGGCACTGCAGGATCTCGCAACAGCACCAAAACCTGCACTCCAACGGGGGGGAGGGTTGGCATTTGCGGGATCTAATGCTTTTCTCATTGGTAAATGGACACATCAATTTATCAAACATATTAACAAAGCGATAGAGCTTGGAACTGTGAATGGAACCGAGAAACTGGCATCGATAGGGTGTGGACAACCTCATTCCATTGGCGTGGGAAGGTGGTGGACAACTGCAGCCCCGCGTGCTCGTCGCGTCTCGCGAAAAGCCGTCCACTGGTCTGGCTTCGTAGGAAGCCGGAAGCGATCTGGGCGTGGGCAGTGCTCCAGGCCCAGCCGCTCCGGATCAGCCCCATCTGGTGTCGGATCCAGGCGATCTCTGGCGACTGCGCCACCAGCTCCAAGTCCTCAATCCGTTGCCTTGTGTCTCGTCGCGCGAGGCCAACCTCGTCGGCTGCACCCGGAGGCGCTACCTCGACGAAGCTGGTGGATTGTTCCATCTCCGACGCGGTCATGTCTAAGTCCCGCTGTCAACTCCGCACTCTCACCGAGTTGTCTCCCTTGTCACTTTGCATCTGCAGGTTCTCATGCTGCGAATCTGCTGCAACACAGAGCAAAAACACCAACACCATCACGACAACAGTCACCGAACAACTCCACAAACCAGCTGTCTTTGACATGTTCATGATCCATGCTCGTTTGTGAACCTATTTTGATCACATGTGCTGCATATCTTTCTTTTTTTGTTTTTGTTGTTGTCACAATGCCAATTATACAGTCTCATAGTCCATTCTCTTCAGTTTACGGTACACGTGAAGTTTACCAAAATAACTATATTTTGATCACACTTTTTTGCAACAAACCCTGTGGGAGATGAGAAGGTTGAAGACCAAAACTATAGGACAAAAAATGGATCAATAACTAAATAGAGAGGCGGGGATGCAACTGCTGCACGGTTTCAAATCCTATTTTGTATCTCGCACTCACTTCAGTCAATTTCATGTTTACTTGATCAAAAATTCGTGTAGTTACATGATTTGAATGTTGAGCAAGAAGAAAGACTTGAATCATTTTTAACTCTTATTTGTTGTTTTGATTGTTGTGTTCTGTGCTGTTTGTCACCACAGGTTGTTAAATATACCCACATGTAGCGATTCATTCGCTGTAAGAACAAATTGAAGATGCCCTTGAGTCTCCCTTGATACCGTCATCTCATGAATAATAACCCATCAGACAGACTCACTCCATGCAACGCATTATCAAAGCTGAATATGTGCCAAATGTGTCTTGTAAGAATGTTGGTTAATGTTAACCCTAATTCATGAAGTTCAATGTTTTCATGTTGGGAAAATATTCTCAGCAACTCAATGGCATGAAAAGTTGCTGAAAACATCAACCCTGAACACAATTGTGTTTGTGGTGTTTACATGTACTTTGGTTAATCAAACTTGTGGTTCTGTTGAAAGTAAAATGAGATTTAAATGTTAGTCCATTAATATTGTAAAAATATTCACTTAACTTTCCATACATGTAATTGAAACAGAGGCTTGACCACCTTTGTTAATCCATATTGCCATTTATGCCACCAATTATATACATTTCAAACATCAAAATTTGTATAATTTGAAGTAAACAAATTATATATATATATATATATATATATATATATATGTGTGTGTGTGTGTGTGTCTATGTAAATGTATAGGAATTTTTATTATTTTTCAGTATGATTTTTAAATAAAAATAACTACCTATTTATTATTATTGAAAATTTATCTGTATGTCGCTTATGTAAAAATTTATTTTCTATTTTTGAATAAATAGAAGTCATTATTCTACTTGTCCTCTATTGAGAAATATATGACACACATTTCTACTAATAAAGGACGTAAAGGATAAGATTAGAAATTAGTGAAATTAAGCCTGGTAAGTCAAAATAGAGAAAAATAAAATTAATTTTCCCACCAGTGAAGGTGCGAAGTTGCTTTCTAAAGCAAAATTAATATAGTGCAAGTAGGACAATAGATTAGAAAGACTTTCAAATATTGTCCATATTTTGAAACTATATCAGTTCTAATTTAGCAACAATTATCATAATTATTGTAAATTTTTGTTTGTAGTAAGTTCAAAAGTCTATATTTTTTCTTCATAATTTATTTAAGAATTTGCATTAAAAAAGACCAAAATATTGTACATCTTTTTAAAAGTTTTATATAAAAAATTACACTAAATGAATTATTAAAACTTATATTCTTGTTATCTATATATTTGATAATTAGTATTAAAAGAATTTATTAATTTATTTATCTCTTATATCTCTATCTTAAATTGATTATTTTGAATTTTTGTATATTTTAAGAATATTTGGTGAAAAAGTAAAAAGTCTATTATCATTATGATTTTGTAATTACAAATAGAAAATTCTATATTGTGATGAAATAATTTGTAAATATAAAAAGTAAAAATTAAGAAGAAATAAATCTCTAAAGAAGAATCTTTTCAAGATCGTTTAAAAGCATAGCAATTACATTAATAAACACACACACACACACACACACACACATATATAAATATATATATATATATATATATATATATATATAACCAAATAAAATTTAAAAATATTTTTATTTAAAAATTTTAATGCTGAAAAAGTTTCACCATTCATTCTTTAAAACAATTTTTTTAACTTTGTTATTCTTTTGAGGTTATGAATCTCTGAAAATTTTTGCTTTTGTGCATTTATAATTTTTGAATCTTAAATTATTAGATTATCTCTTTGAATTTAAAACACCTACATGGAAAACATTTTTGCTGAAAAAAAAATTATTATTATTATTATTATTTTAACATGTATGGCTTTGAAGCCAAAGACAATAATCCAAATGCGGTTATCAAAAACATATTTATTTTCATTGAGATGAAAGGCAAAGGAACCCCTCAAAACATCTAATAGCATTACATTATGGGTTCAGGTAGAAGTGGCTCAAAAAATAATAATGCCAAAGCTTACAAGTCATGTTCTTAACACAAAAATTGTAAATAAAAAGGGAAACATGAATCTAAATATTTCTTTCTGTGTGGTCAAAATCAGATTTGTCTGATTAAATTGCAACCATTTAATACCTCATACTCTTAAATTCTTTTCATCTGTCTCTTTTCTCTCTCTCTCTCTCTCTCTCTCTCTCTCTTTTTTTTTTTTTTTTTTTTTTTTTTTTCCCCTCTTCTTCATTCGATTGATTTATTTTTATTTTTATTTATTTTTATTTTTTTTACGTATATCTCTTTGGATTTTGTTAATGTTATTTTGAAATTTTAAAATGTTCAAATATACAGATGTAGATATAGATTTGAGGTTTACTTTGTTAGAATATAAATTAAGATTAAGTATGTCATAATATGTTTCATTCTTTATAATTTAGGTGACATTCAAGTCGTACTATCCATGGTAAATAAGAACTTTAGTAAGGCTAACAGATATTTCTGGTCTGTGTAGATAAAACTACTGTTTGATCTTCAAATAAAATAACAATAACCTTATTTACAACATGATTAGTGAAGCATTAGCTGTATACTTGCGACATTTAAATCAATCACAATTTTCGTACCACCATCTATTAAAGTTATAAATATAATTACACTAGTAAATAAAATTAAACCTCAACGCAATATACCATTGCAAAAACAAAATATACAGTATGCGAAAGCAGAATTTGACACAACTGAACATCTCATTTGATTTGATTTTTGGTTTTTGATTTCTTTTTCTTTTTCCTTCCGTTTCTTTGTTTGTAAGTCTCCTCTTGATATGTTCTACTTACACTCATTCATGATGTATTATTCACTATAAAAATAAAAAGGTTCTCATGGGGCACTGGTTGTCAAGAAAGATGTCATTTAGACATTCTTGAAGGGAAACCCATTTGTTTATAGGATCAAAATGAACAATTTTCTGTATCATGAGAACGTATCTGCTGATGCCGATGGGCTGTTAAAGCTCCTGCTTCTGATGTGGGTTATTGGTGACTCTCTATTGAACATGTTATGTACGTGGATCTTACTCTCTCACAACTCTCTTATGCTGTGCAGTAGTCTGAACAGTATATATGCATATATATATATATATATATATTCACACATACACAGAGACAGACACAAATATATATATATATATATATATATTGCAGTGTAGAATGTGCAGCTCAACGCAAATAGCAGCTTGTGAAACCTGGTGAGAAAGACTTCTCTGGAATCCACCATTTCATGTCGTCGTATTCTCGGACCCCTCTGCAGCCATCGCTCTGCACCACAGGGCCATCTAGCTCTGCAAGATACTGCTTCTCGTTGTCGAAGTATCGTTTTTTGAGGATGCGGACAACACGGTAGTAGTTGCCCTCTTCTGGCTCGGAATCGTCCTCATCAGGAGGAAGAGGAAGAGGCATCCCCACCATGGTGTCGTTCTCGGGGTATAGCATCGTCTGTTGTTGCCTGTTTTTACAAGAGCTGATCTCACAGATGTCGGCCAGGGCAGTCCCACTGGAAGGAGGAGTAACAACAGGAAGCCTCAAAAGACTGTCAGACATTGGGCATAGCTGCGAGGAATCGTTCTTCGTAATCATTAGTGCAGAATCCAGTTCCGGGTAAAGTTTCAAAACAGGGCTACGGGAGGCACAACTCGTCGACATTGTGCAGCTGGGAGAGTCCCAAAGAGTGTTTAAAGCTGGTGGAGGGACTGTGGAAGTGTCAAGGTCAAGGTTGAGATCCATGTGCTCCTTGGTATAATATGGGTTGTCATCTTCAACAGGTCTCGGTTTTCTTAGATTGTCTCTCGTCTTCAGTATTGCGAGGTACAGGCTCCGGTTAACACTGTTTCGACGAGCTTGGAACGACAACTTAGTTGCAACTTCGTTTACAACCTGGCCATTGGCTTGAATCTTCAGCCCACACTTAACCAGCGGTCTTTGCGTGCGCTGGAATCCTGCTGAAATGATGCGGTAGTGGTTTCTGTAGTTCCCATTAATGTAGTCGACATCTACGACACGGAAAATATGGACGAGAATCGTCCGCCGTGAAGTATCAATGAGCTCGAAAACACAAACGTCCCCTTCCTCAAGAAGATGTTCGAGGGAAAATTGTCTCCATCCCTTGGTGAGCGCCTCTTGAGTCAGAAGAACTCTAGTTTTGTTTCCAGCCGCGTCTCTGAGGAAGATGTGAACCCTCTCGTTTGGTGACAATTGCCGGCAAAACTCTGGCAGAATCTCCTGCACCACATGCAACCATACGCAGGGTTGATTTCTATTTCTATGTCCACGTATTTAAATATTACTAGCTTTCTACTGCACAGGAATCAGGCCACAAAAAAAAGACATCAAAGATACGTTCAGCTCCAGGTTTGATTATATACGGGTTACAAATACATAGGCATCATTACAACCAAGTTTTTTATTAGTAAATGAATCAGCAGTGCCTATCAATGTTTAATGTATACCCCCTACTGGCACAATCGCATGACACCATTGAAAATGTCCCAAAACAATTCCAATTTCAAATAATTTGGGCGGAGAAGCAAGAAACGGCGAGTGCCTAAGGTATACCAAGTAATGAGATTGGTATAATGCGACAAGGCATAAACCTTACGCTTACACGAACACAAGCGAAACAATGCACTCACACAAGTAGCTCATCATCCATCCTACACAGCTACACCAATCTTGATAATGAACATTTTGTCACATTCAAGCTTGTCAACAATGTGCTCTACAAAAGGGTATTCGCAGAGAAATACTCACCACAATGTATGTCTTGTATACATTTGAGCTCTTCAGAACAACCATAGTAGCAGGATTCTCAGTTTTCATCGCAAGGGCGGCTTCTTTTGCTGCTTCCTTCTGCGCATCTGTCACAGGAGTCCGTCTGGATGCTATGTAGAACCTAGAGTTCCGATTCAAAACTTGCATTCTCCTCCTAAGGACAGAGTAATCGGGTGTATACCACTTCCAACCCCATGTCCTTGTTTCCTCTGTTTTTCCATAAGTTTCGCACCGTTTACGTGCCTTGGCCCAATGTTTGAACGTGTTAGACACAAGCTTCCCGCTTCCTCCTCTAATTTCATGTCTCCGTGCAGCGTTTATGTGGTGACGTTTTCTAGTGCAGTCCTGCTCATGAAAATGCTGACATTCAAACCCGCGACTTTCAACAGCAGATGATTTTTCGTCTTTTTCGATCAGCCCAGTGCTCAATGTGCTGGTGCGTACCCATCCAGGCGAGTTTCGACAGTTCCTAGAGTTATTCGCACCGACACAACCCGAGGACATCTGACATAGAATCTCACTGAAGGTAGCATCTTGGGTCTTACTCATAACGCTATCTGTCAACTCTTCATCGTCCTTGCAGCACCTTTCTAAGCTTGTGCCTGCAACACTTTCAGATTCACAGCTAATTTTTTTTGAACTTGAGTACATGCCGCCTTGCACTTTTGAAGCCCACAATGACAGTTTTTTCAATCGCTCCCTTCCCACAGATCCTGCTGCAAATGAATCCTGGCGTCTGTTGCATACTCTACTGGGTCCTACAGAATCTGTGTGCGTCGTTCTATGAAACGCTTTGTACAAGGCCAACTTCGTAGGCGTGCACGGATATTGTCCTTCTGAGCTAGTTGGTAGTGCGTCTTTGTCTGCCAAAGAGTCCGCCTTCCTTTGTCTTCGACCATCCCCCTTGTCTACCACCTTCCTCTTTCGGTCGGAACACTTCTTATGAGATAGATGCTGCATTTGCAATAATTCAGGTCTCTTCGGTTTTGTAATGATAACATGGTTACTATCTCTTGTTTCCGAAGATCGGAAAACGTGAATTAGCAACGTGAGTTTATTCAACTCAATAAGCTCGAAGATACATACATCTCCTTCTAAGAGACCTTCTGCTAGGCAAAAATCTCTCCATCCTCGAGTGAGCCCCATGTGAGTCTCATTGTCACGAAGCCAAGTCATCGGCCACCGATGTCCATGTGAATCTAGCAGGTGCATTGAGACAGTCTTTCTTGGCATATGTTGCTTGCCAAAAGTAACTGGGAACCGCTGTCATGCAAAAACAACACACATTAAATGGTGAACTGGAAATGAACACATCACACAGGATAGGAAAAGGCTAATCATTCCAGGCAGGCAGGACTCTGGCTTCCACAAACTGGAATTGTGTCTCGGTTGTTTTAAGGTTAAGTCCTGCAATTGTGCTAATTAGTCACTGCAGCCAGATTTTACAATAGTGAGAAGTATGAAATGGGAAGGTAACACAATACTCACCACAAACGCACGTCCATGAACATGGAATGCTCTCAGAACCACTAAATGAGAGGGTCTATCAATGCTCTCCTGAGCTCGACGCGCAAGTTCAAGGGCCTTCTCCCTTTCTAATATTACATCCGGCGACCTGTAACAACGGCATGTGCATCAGACTGTCACATTCGAGCACCCTTGCAAACGTAGATGGTCCGATTCAGCATTAAATTTGAGCCCCGACTAACTTTCTGTGGATTAAAATGCGATGTCCTTATAAGACTGAAAACCAATACCAAGTCTGGGAAAAAAAAATCACACTTTCATTGTAATTTGAACTCAAAAACGAATACCAAAGCGATGAATATACTAAAGAAGAATAAAGGAAATTGCACATCCTAAAGCAGATCTCAATACTCTGTAAGTGATTCTGCGCCTTACCTATCTAGACCTGTTCTACATTTATGATAACAAAAAAAAAAAAAATGCCTTGCACTGGTTCGTCACATGTTTCGTTGCTCAATGCTCTAAAAAATTTGATCCGACTTACAGCATGTGAGGAACGACATCATCTGAGAAATGCTCCTTGTTCAAATCCAGTATCTGGCTACGATGATGGGAGGGAATAACAGTTGGGCTATTGTTTTGTCGGTGAGGAAATTCTGTGGATCTCTCTCTGGCATCCATTACTGGTCTTCTTTGAGAAGCGAACCGTGTTGCCGGTCCCAATCCTCCTGATCCACACACCTGAATTAAACTTACCATTCAGCACTGTTGTTGCCTTTTTGAAAGCAGGCAGATAAGTCAGCGTCGCTACGGTGACCCAGTGGCATCGTAAAGAGCAGGCAAACAGTGGTTACTTTCAATATATTCAGAGGAATTTTTTTGAAAACTCTCCAGGTGAAAATGAGAAGTGTTGAACACTCAAAGAAATTAACTGACAAGAATTCTACTCAAAAAACTTTATGAAGCTGTCAATTACCTGAGCTTTAGATTGTCCTTGGACATGGCATTCTTCGCCAACATCTTGAGAGCGTATACTGATTGGATGAGGTTGGTATACAATACCGGAGGCATATCCTTGAAACGTGCGAGCAACAACAGCATCCAGGAGTTGATGGTCAATCTCTGGGAAAAAATTTCCATTACCACTAGTTGGGTTCTGGTGTAAGTACAGCGGTTGAGAGTTTAAATCAAGCAAAGCACATTCTCCGTACGAAATTAGAGCAGCAGCTGAACTGAAGGTCGATGATTTTGCCCGTCTTTGTTGCAAGACTTTTTCGGTATGGGTGGAATCGATTGACTGATCATTGTGAACAAGCTGGACCCCGTTGTTGTGAGCACAAATCCTTTTCAGTTCAGCTGCATTTTCGTCATCATCTCTTTGTTTCCTTTTGACTCCCAACGAACTGGGTGATTTGCTATCATAGCAGCCCGTATTAGTTGCTGTCAGAGCACTTTCTTTCTCAAGGCCTGTTTTATTGTCAAATATTCTCACCGCAAACTCGGACTTGCCTATTAAAGTAAATACGAGTATGTCGCCTTTTTCTAAACCATTATCTGCAGCGAATGTTCGCCATCCGACTCTAAATGCTACCCATTTTGGCCGACCAACACCAACCTGCCAGGTGTTGCCACTTGGCCCATGCAATACAGCCGAGTTACCTACTTCATCGCCATGTAGTTTGAGCCAAGCTGACGGAATTACCTGTCATATGAAGTGGGTATAACGTCAAATGTGATCGTTGCGAAGCGATCTCCAGTTCAATATACTGGTAGACATACTTATTTCTTATTTAATCATCTATTTATACTAATTAATGGGCAGCATTTGATACCAATCAACATCGTAGTTAGAATTGCACAACTCACCATCCAACATGTAGCCATGGCAGCAAGGTTGCTATCGCACAAGGCCCTCATGAAACATGGAGACCGAAATGTGTCTCTGCTTTGTAAAGGCCAATGCTCCTGGTAACAAGATCTAGTGCATGACAAGCATGGACGAAAGCCATGTGGGATCTTGTCCATGCTGCTGTACCAGGTTGAATTGAGGGATATGAATGCTCACTGAAATCAGCAACGCAGATAACCAATGGCGAAAGTCAGCACTGCAGTTCAATCACAACTGAGTAATATGCAGATCATAGAGGCTTCCAAATTGCAGCTAACATACAGCATGCTTCAAGGCTGTAACATGTATAATTAACCTTTAAATTCTCAACTATTTATTAATACATGACGCCTACAATCTCAATTGGTTGATTCTGGTACATCGATCATGAAAATTGAAATGATCCCGCCCCACGTCAACCGAGGATCACGAAGTTCATACATCAAATCAAATCCAAATGGAAAATTCAGATTCTCTCCGCCCACTCGCTTCTTCCTTCCATCACGGACCTGCATGAACTGCGGTCTTTTTCTTGATTTGCGACAGGAGTGCGTATCTGTGTGAGACGGGGCAAAAAATGATATCTAGACCTGCTCCTGCATACAAACAGGAGTATCGAAAAGCTAAAATTAGAAAAATGAATCATAGGAGTCCACATCAACTACGCAACATGTTGAGATTTACAGGTGAGGTAGAATGCACAAGCAACTCGTGATGGTACTACTATGATAGCACTCCTAGATGGTGCAACGTGACGATCTACTGCAAGTCCTTCTTGCACGTAGGACACAAACTAGTTCCTTTTATAAGATGAAACGGAACACCCCATATGATTTATCACGTCTATTATTTATCTTAATCTATACATTAACTACTAATATTAAGTCACTACCATGATCAAGGCAGTAAGTAAATAACCAACGAAGTAACCTTTGAGCGGACACTTTCTTTTCATGAATTCAGTTGTTTGTAAGCTACGCAACTGAAAAAGTGTAGTCATTTATCTTGCAGGAACTTCACGGAGGACTTCAAGACAGAGAAACCAAGTTTGTCCGGCGACCTTTAACAGCCAAGATCATCCGACAGTTTTTGTTTTCTAAAATAGTGCTTTGGTCAATTTACAGCACACGTTTCGGCCCCGTAGACTCAATAAAGCACATTCATATAGAACTTTGCGAACCAACGCCAGTAAAATGCATGACTTCACCAGGAAGATCATCATGACATGGCGCCAATGGCTATACTTGAAGAAATGCTGAAATTTTAATTAAGAAGCTACTGAGCTCTACAACGATGTTGAACAGCCAAAACAAAAAGAAGAGAAAAAAAAACTCAATTAAGAAAGACCAAGTTTTCTTGAAAAAGGATATGTATTTCAAAATTGAGGTCACCAACTGATTTCTTTTCGTGATTACACTTGGGGAAATCTAAGGGATACTGTCGAGAATGTATTTTCACGGCAACTAGTTAAAAAGCTGGGCAACGTTCCACATCGTTTTTAATCATCTGTGCGCAAGTGAGGTGAAAAAGCACAAGGAAAACAGCTCAATCAGTGTCAACGTGCAACATGACATTGTCAATTGTGTCACTCAGGATAGATTGCAAAGCACTAACGGGGCAAGGAAATGCCTGGATTTGGTTCCTCGAAACTGGAAACTCGACAGCGTCGAGGGAGAGTTGAGTCGATTGGTGGAAATACGCCCAGTACACTGATTGGGTCCCCACAAATCATCCTGAGTTCGCACCAAGAAATCTAAACTCTACCACTTTTCTTGATCCCACTCCCCCGACCTTCCTGCACTTTTCTATCCTCTACGTCCCAATCCTTGACCCCCTATCCCATGAATTGCTCTACAAAGAGAGTTAAGTTTTACTCCTTAAGTCATAAGGTGTGGTTTATGGTGCGATTGTAAAAGTCCATTAGAGTTGGCAAAAAGAAGACGACAACAAAAATTCTGTAAACAAAGGAAGGCTCACACCCCAGGCAAACAAGTCAAGACACAGAAAGACAACCAAGAAACTGAGTCTATTTAATTCAATCGAAGCAATCCAGAATGGAGCTTCCGGAGATTCAAGCTGTGACAATGATGGTGAACTGAATGGCTTCCTTACGCTCGATTGAGTCTATTGCCCCACCACAGACATCACAAAGGTCCTCCACAACACACGAATTCAGACATGAGCGGGCGTGGACCAAAGACATGAAATAATGATACAGCAACCCTCTGGAAGCAGCACAGATGCCCAGAATTTCGACCTGCAGGAAAGACAACCTGAAAGAAAGAACGCCAAGAAAGCTCGCATCTCAACCTAAAACCGCAACCCAGCGTTCCCAAGTCGAGGCTCACAAATTACAAATCACTCTGCGGTGAACATGAGGAATCATCACTGCTTGCCCTCATTTCACAGTTGACATGATGAAGTGAGTACGAGGAAAGATGCTCCCTTTCTGTGCTGGTCAGAAGATCCCATGGACATGAGACCATGGATACGAAAAGAAGAGACTATCTATCCATGAGTGTAACAACCAGAAGAGCACGGTGTTAACGTGCCAAGAAAACACGAAGCAGACAAACTCTTTTGCAAGACAGAAAAAATAGAAAAAAAAAATAGATCAGTATATGAGCACACCAAACCTTCGATGCACTAAAGCTAAAAGAACAAAAACAAAGCAAACACACAAGTCTTCATGAGCACAGAAAATGAGAGAAGTCACCAACAAAGTCACACATTGCATCAGTAATTTCACCGATTGACAGGCCTTGTTTTAATGCATATAAGCTAAGTCGCTGTTGTCAGACACTAGAAACATGACAACGGGGAAGGCCATGCTAACGTAACCTAACGGGCAGGAAGCACTACACACAAGCAAAAAAGCATTAAAAAAACCACACCTTGCGCCAAGTTACAGATGCAGGGCAGCAAGAGCAGCGAAGCAGCAAAGTGCACACACACAATCTGGATCACAGGCAGCTACAGCTGAAACCATTACTTGGGATGGCATGCATGCACGGTCTCCGACGGTGCTGGTGCCGCTACTCGGACTGCATCCTCCCAAATTGTCACAAGCTTGGGACAGAAGCAGAATACCGGTACCACTAGTGGGAGTTTGGAAGAGGGGGAGGGGGGGGGGGGGGGCTAAAAAGGACATAGAATTGAGCATGTGGGTCCGATCTGCGGAGCCTGGAAGAAGAGCACACAAGTGGGTGTCAACCAACAAACTACCGAACACATTCATTGCAGGGAATGGGGGGGTTATGGTGTAGTGGTGCAGGATTTGATTCCCCCTCTCTTTCCCCTTCTTTCTGTTTTCTTTTCCCTCTCCAGACATGAAGCCTCCCTCCCTCTCTCCCTTTGCTTGCTGGGGTGCGGTACTACTGCTCAGTTATGTCCCCCCTCTCTCACGTGTAGTCGCATGATAATGCCTTTCACACTCTCACCTCCTCTGGATGGATGTTTGAGTATCTATCCATGGGTCTACTTCTAGTGGGGTAAAACTGCTACCTTTACTTGAGGACCATGTGTTGTTTATTTTGTTGTTGTAGAACATTGTGATGGTGTTGGCAATTTATGAAGCTGGGTGAGGGATTTTTTCTAATGGTGTTTGAATTGTTTACTTCTTGGAAGTCGACTGCCAGAAATTTAGTGTTTTTATTTTTATTTTTTTAAGTTGTTTGTTTCATGCATTGTGTTTGGTTGATTGGGTGGTTGTGTGCATTGTTTGTTTTTTTGTTGTTCTAATGGTGGCTAGTGGTGAGCTGGGAGTTCATTTAATATTTGCAGATGTATGTTGTTTCTTTTGAGTCAATAATAAAATAAATTGGATTGTTTTCTATACAATGTTGTTTTTGTTTACTTTTAAATGTTTTCTAAATGGAAAATGAGAGGTGCAATAAAGTAAATTTATTGTTTCAATGAGTCTCTTACATGAATTTTAATGGTGAGTGTATACAAATAAAAAATTGTGTTAATTGAAGCAGTCAATATGATGTGCAACTCATTTTTAAGATGACAATTTAATTGAAAAAGAAGTAAACTTGTTAATATTTAATGTGTATAATATTTGAAGGTTAAATCAATTATCTATTATATAAAATATATTGGGTACAAGACAAAGAAACAAAGAAGCCTTTTCACTAGCCAAACATGGAAATTGGATGAACATGGGTATGAAAGAATATGGATGAATAAGGAAAAAAATGGATAGAAGTCTCAAAGATTGTTATACCCAACTACATAAGTTTTTTCTAATATATGTATATATATATTTCTTAAAAAAATTAATATTAAATTAAAATTTTATTTATTATAATAAAAGTAATTTTTTTATAATTTTTAATAATAAAAAATAATATGTATTTAAAATAATATATATTAAAATAATTTATAAAATCATATTATTTTAATAATAAATTTTAATAGTTATATATTTATAGATGAGATGATTTAAATCGTATATATATATATACAAGATATGGTCAATGTTACCATGTTTTTTGCTACTCCCACCACAACCTATCATTTACCACATGCCTCTTATATCTTATGTCAACGATAAATAATAAAAAAAAAATTAAATTAATTATTTATTTTTAAATTTAAAAAATATATAATTTATTTAATCTACAAATATTTCTAATATGTGTATATATGTATGTATATATATATATATATATATATTAAAATTCCTATAGATTAAAAAATCTTGAATTTTATAATTTATTAATTAATGTATATTTTTATATAAATTTTAAATTATCTTATTATATGAGTTCAAAAACATGACTATTATTATTATTATTATTATTATTATTATTATTATTTATTATAGATATATGTTATAAATCATTTATTATCTATTATTGTAGTTGTAAGTTTTAAATATATTATGAATTTAGTGCATATATAATTTAGTTTATTAGTATAATATATTAAGTCTTTTAAATATATTCTTGTAATAAAAAAAATAAAATTTAAATATATATAATATTTTAGATAATTTAATTAGCTTACAAAAAAATATATATATTTTAAATATCATTTAATATTAGGATGTTGCTATTGCCACTATAATTTTTGCTACTAACACTACAACTTGCCATCTACCATATGCTATTAAAAAAAATTCTAATACCACTGCAAGTTCTCCTAAACTTGTGTTGAACATCATAATGCACTTTAGAAAATATTAAAGTATACATCTACAAAGAATTTAAAATTTATCTATTATGAATTTAAATTTTAGTGTTCCATAAAATGCATTGTAGTATGTAATGTAAGTTTATGATAGCTTGTGGTGGCATTAACAAAACCTATAATGGCATGTAATAGATAGTAAGTTGTGGTGTCATTAGCAAAAATTGTGGTGGCACTAGCAAATTTCTAAGAATAAATAAGAAGTTATTTTTTTACTAATTATTTTAAAAATAGAATAAAAAATAATTTATTTTTTTTGTTCTTAGTATAAAAATTTATAAATATAATGATAGATTGTTAGATGTATTATTATAAAAATTCAAAAATAAAATTTAAAATTATTATTTTAGTATTATAAGTATAAGATTTTATAATTATTTATTTTTTAATAAATATAGATTGCTTAAATACTCTATTTCTAAATAAAAATATATAATTATAAATTCTATAAAATAATATATCAATATATAAAAAATTAATTTCTTTTAATAAATTAAATATCACATATATATATATATATATATATATATATATATATAGATTTTATTTATTTAGAATAAAAAATCTTTTATTAATTTTTAAAATTTTTTTTCTAATTCTTTTGTTTGTAATAAGTATTTACTAATAAGAAATTATAGTTAAGAATGAATAACTAATTGTAAGTTATATTTTTATCAGTGAAGAAGAAAAAGAATTAATATAAAAAGAATTAACTTCATAATTTTTGTTTTAACTTATATTCTATTTAATTCCCTTTAAAATTATATTATTCAAAGATGCTTTATTTTTAAAATATTAGACTTATTAATATAAGAAAAAATAAATTAAAAAAATAAATATAATGACAAAGTACGTTTATAATATTTTGTAGTTTTATTAAATTTACACCTCTTGCAAAATAATAGTTATCAAATATGTATTATAGAGCATTAAATTTTTAAAAAGATACATAATTTAATAAATAAAAATATAAAATAATATATATATCAGATTTTGTGAGAGATTGTTAATGGATGGAAGATTATAATTATTGCTTATTGAGAGTTGTGTGTGTTTTGACAGAAGAAGTCTATAATTACAAAAATTATGTGAAGACAGATTGTTTGAAGTGGAAGTCTGTTATTTTTGATGTTGGATGGAATTTATGTATTTGGAGCAGTCTTTTAAGACAATGTGAGAGTTGCGCTTTATTGTTATCAGCGATTGTAAAGTACTATTAGGAAGTGGAAAGCATTGTAGTATTCTTTGGTGTTTTCAGTGATTGAGAATATAGTTAATTGTATGATCCTAACAAGTAGAACTCATGTACTTAGTCTTTCCCTACGTTCAAATCTCCCTATACAGATTTATTCTAAAAAGAATTTATAGAATAAGTAAAATGATAATTACAGTATATATATATATATATATATATATATATGGATTATTAAGTATAATATATAATAATTATATAAATAAATTATATATAATTATTTCTTTAAATAAAATAATAACTATAATAATACTTTATAATAACTTTAAATTATTATAAATTCTATACACAAGAAGAGAATATAGAGAATACAAAGAATACAAAGTGGTTGGAATCCTAAGTATAGCTAAAGATCAAGTTATTGAGACTGAATTGTTGGAATCCTAAAGACTCACAATAATGGCTTCTTTACTTACCACAATTATAGCTTTGGTGTAAGATGTTGTACTTATCATTGTATTGTCTCTTCTATTTTGAGTTGAATTATATTTTGAGTTGATTTGTACTCTCTATTTTGAATTGGCATCCATTACTTTCTTCTTCTTGTAAAACTTGAAGCTATCTTTGTATTAGATTAAAGGATTTTGATAAGTATTGATAAGATTGAATTGGCTAGATAATTCTCTTTTTATCTTTTTTTTTATATTAAAAGTGATTTTATTTTAAGTATTAAAAATTTCTCAATATTCTTTGGAAAAATTGTGGCTTTCTTTCTTATATAATTTGAAGCTATCTTTGTATTGGATTGTAAGATTCAAGGTGTAGTAGTGTGATAGTAGATCTAAGATATACATTAATAGACTTAATATAATGTTGTAGGATTTGAAACAATTGTTATAAGTCAAATAGAAAGGAATAATGTCCAAGCTTTGAGGTTTCATGTAAGTTCATATAATTTTATGTAAGTTTGTCGTAGCCACTAGTGCATTGTGTTCGGCTTCGTCCACTTCAATTTTTTTGCAACTTGTATTAGAATAAAATCTTCTAATTCATTAAGTAGAATTTTTTATGTAATTATTATTATTATTATTATTATTATTATTTTCTTTTAGTTGTTGCAAGTATTGACTTTGAAAGAAGAAGGAGATGAAAAGACTAGATTAACATAAATTATTATAAGCCAATAGTAGTATAAAAATAAGCAACATATCTGTACTTTTCTTACATTTTTTATGCACTCTATAGGACTTTTTATTTTTGTATTATGTCCTTAAATCATTGTTAATTTTTTTCATTTTTATTTTATATTTATTTAATTTTTTAATATTTTATATATAAATCCCTTTTATAATAAGATGTAATTATTATAGATGGAGATTTTTTTTTTTTTTTTTTTTTTTTTTTTTTGTTTATGGTTCTTAATAGCTTTTGCTAAGCAGACTACTACATCTATTGCCCTTACCAAGAAAGAGGCTAAATTAATCATTAAGGCAACATCTAATGTATAAGTTCAATACTATTGGTTTAACAATACCAATAAAATTCTTGCCATGGATTGAGTAATTCCTTTTTTATATCTTCTTTGATGTTGAGACTATGAAAGTGGTTTTATTTTAAATATCAAACACTTCTCACAGTTACTTCTTTATTGGCTACTACATGTAATTTTTACTATTTTTTTATTCTTTATGTGAGACATATTTTATTTTAGGCACTTGGTATAAGGTACCAAATTAATCCGAAGTCAACCATT